AGTTCTATGATTAATAGCTTTAGTAGTTTTTGAAGGACTAATCTTTCAATTATATAATTTGCAACTGAAATTTCTTCTCACAATATATTAGTCTTTTAAAAAATCTTTACCTGTTCTCAACAAGTGGTCACTCCCTCTTTTAAGGGGGAGTGTTTATAGTAGAATACCAAAAAACCATTAAAATGAATAAACTAGACCAACATTTTTCAACATCAGCACTTTAGACATTTGGGGCTGGGTTATTCTTTGTTGTGGGTGCTTTCCTGTGTACTGTAGGATGTTTACTCGCATCCCTGGCCTCAACATACTAATTGCCAGGAGACAACCAAAAATGTCTCCAGACTTTGCCAGATGTCCCTGGGGGCAAGGGGGACCACAGTTGTCCCTGGTATAGTACCACTGAACTAGATTTATGTTTAAATCTCAGATACATAATGCCATTCTTTTAAAAAATGCTGTTGCTAGAAAAAATGCTGTTACAATAACATGCTAGTTACATGATTTTCAGTGTACAAAACAGCAGTAAAATTGCTTATGGGCAAAGTCATTTGTAGTAATAAAAATGTATATGGGAATGGTACATGCCATCTTCAGGATAGAAGTTACCTCTGGGGAGAGAAGGAATGGGGATGAACAAAGGTATATTTATGACATTTTACATTTCAGAAAGAGGTCAGAAGCAAATAAAACAACATATTATCAACCTAAATCTGAGAGGTGTATGCTTTTTCTGTATATTTACATGATCCATCTGTTTTGAACTCCTGTGGCAATATCGTGTAATATTTGTTGTACTTTTAACTATTGTCCTAAATTTTAACTTGCTATCGTGCATTATTGCACACCAGGGTGCAACCATCTGTGTATATGAGGTGCTTCATTTACTCCTGTCAAACCTAGGATGTCACATACAACCTCACATAAAGCAAGGGCCCAATGACAATTCTTACCTGACTGACTGAAATACTCTTTGTCTTTGCTATAGATTGTTTCCTTCCTGATTTTGTCTGAAGTACTTAAATTTAGTAGTTGATCTAACTTTTAGGATTGGCAAACTGGTGGTTTACAAGTAATAAATAATACAAGTCAAGGAAAGATCTAAGGGCTTTCTTGGTAAACAACCTAGTTTTTATCATTGCATGTCCTGGATAATGTTTTGTATTTCTATCATGCTTGGCAAACACATATTAGCCTCATTGTACCTACCTACCATGGAATGCATCCTGTGCTTGAATTCATTCCCCATTTTATGATTTTGCTCATAACATAAAAAATAGCATAATTTGTCCAAGTTATTTTAGGTTTCTGGGCAAAAAGTCAGAATAAAGATAAAAATGGAAACATTGAAATTTGCATATACTTTTAGGTGTCTAAGTATTGTAACAGACATTTTAGAAAACTATTTAGGAATTTTTGTTGGTGCTAATGCATGTGTACCTTTGAGAAAAACACAGAAGAGAACTAATGATGCCTCCTTAGTGGTATATGTGTGTGTATTTCAGAATATATCCTTGTCAGCAGTGAAACGTGTGTGTGTGTGTGTGTGTGTGTGTGTGTGTGTGTGACTCTTACATCTTAGATGTATAATCCTGGGGCAAACTGTGGGCAGTGTGTGAAAACACTTAGTTGGGATATTTGCATTAAAAACGTGTATTGAAATATTTAAAAGTACTCCAGTTGTCAAATTGTATTCCCTAGTATTCGGATCAAGAAATAAAGGATTTCTCCCAATGAAGGGCCTCCTCAGAGCGTAATAGAAAATGAATTGTAGAGTATTATCTTTGCATTGGCTTAGTCCATTAATAGTGGAGTAAAATAAAATCAATATATTTTTCTGCTGTTTTATAATGCACGTGGAATATTTAAAATTATAGAGCAAAGCATTGAAAACAATGACTCTTGCTACTTCCTTATATAGTGTATGATCAGTTTGGAGAATTTACTGTTCCAGAACATAATTAAATCAACTTATATAAGTGCATTTTAAATAACTTTGTAAACTTCATAATTGTTAATACCAATTAGTTGCTTCGCCAACATCTTAAGAAAGGACAATTGAGCCCTCCAGATACTGTTAACTGTTTTATACCCTTTGACCCAGTTAATCACTTACAGAACTTACTTTATGGAAATAAAGATGCAGATGTTGAAGGCTATCCATTAATAGACTGGTTAAATAACCACTCATTATAAATGGTGGTTTTAAAAATTATTTAATGACAGATAAATGTACCTTATACAATATTAAGGGAAATAAAGTGAACAGAGTCCGAGCCCTCCCCCCACAGAGCCAAAAAGTGGTGAAGCTGGTTACCCCGCACTGGCGATTACTTAAGGTTCAACACCACATAATTTATAGGTGACTTTTCTACATTAGGCCACACTACTAAGACAGGGAGTCAAGCAGCTTTACCTAACATACAGAAATAAACATAGGGAAGCTGCCAACTTGAGGAGACAAAGAAATATGGTTCAGCCCTGGCTGATGTGGCTCAGTGGATTGAGTGCTGGCCTGTGAACCAAAGGGTCACCGGTCCGATTCCCAGTCAGGGCACATGCCTGGGTTGTGGGCCAGGTTCCCTGTAGGGGGCACAGAAGAGGCACCTACACATTGATGTTTTTCTCCCTTCTTTCCCCTCTGTAAAAACAAATAAATAAAATCTTTTTTAAAAAGAAAGAAATATAGCTCAAATGAAAGAACAGAACAAACCCCCAGAAATAAAAGAAAAAAAAAACTAAACAAAATGGAGATAACCAACATTGGATGCAGAGTTCAAAACACTGGGGATCAGGGTGCTCAAAGACCTCAGTGAGTATAACAACATACAGGAAGAAATTAGGTTTACACTAAAAGAAATAAAAATCTATAGGGAACTAGGGAACCAACAGTGAAGGGAAGCAAGTTGGGATTCAAATCAATGATTTGGAGCATAAGGAAGAAAAACATTCAACCAAAACAGAAAGAAGAAACAATAATTAAAAAAAAAGAAAAACAGGGATAGTACAAGAAGACTGGCCACTCCAAATGTGCCAACATCCGAATCACAGGAATGCCAGAAGGAGAAGAGGAAGAGCAAGAAATTGAAAACTTGAAAAAGTAATGAAAGAAAACTTCCCTAATTTGGCAAAGGAACTAGACATACAAGTCCAGGATGCACAGAAGGTCCCAAACAAATTGGACCCAAAGAGGACCGCACCAAGACACATAATAAAAATGCCAAAGGTTAAGGATAAAGAGAGAACCTTAAAAGCAGCAAGAGGAAAGCAGAGAATTACCTACAAAGTGGTTTCCATAAGATTTTCAGCTGATTTCTGAAAATAAATTTTGCAGGCAAGAATGGACTGGCAAGAAGTATTCAAAGTGATGAAAAATAAGGACCTACAACCTAGATTACTCTGTCCAGCAAAGCTATTACTTAGAATGGAAGGACAGATAAAGTGCTTCCCAGACAAGGTAAAAACTAAAGGAGCTCATCGTCACCAAGCCATTATAACATGAAATGTTAAAGGGACTTATTTAAGAAAAAAGAAGATCAAAACTATGAATATTAAAAAGGTAAGAAATTCACAACTATCAACCATTGAATCAAAACCAAAACCAAAACCAAAAACAAGCTAAGCAACAACCAGAACCCAAACAGAATCATAAGTGCGGAGACCATTTGGAAGGTATCAGCTGGGAGGAGGAAAGGAGAGACTTGGGAGAAAGTTGCAGGGATTAAGAAGCATAATTGGTCAGTAAAAAATAGGCAGGGGAGTGTTAAGAATAGTATACAAAATGGAGAAGCCAAAGAATTTATATGTACAACCCATGGACATGAACTAAGATGATGGGTTGCTGGAGGGAAGGGTGGTACCGGGTGGAGGGTGACAAAGGTGAAAATTTGGGATAACTGTAATAGCATAATCAATAAAATATATTTTAAAAATAAATAAATAAATAAAATGGTTACTTTCCCTTCTCCCCCTACCACCCCACTTTCATGATCCCCCTTGTTTTTGTAAGTAAGTTAGGTGAAAAGCACATCTGTTTAATGTTAATGATTTGTACTATGTTGGTTATTGCCTGGTATTTGTGTCCCTTTTTAAGCCTTTGTTTTGATGGAGAGACAATGTTTTATTAAAAGATTTGTTCCTACTGATTTGAAAGTGTACTCAGTAAAATGTAGGCCTGAGTCATTCAGAAGACCTTTCTATATGACATGTGTGCTTTGAGGAATCTATATTATTTTGCCAAAAGCTTTTTATAGACCAGAATTAGACATGAGTTATTTAGTATAGTGGTACTTAGTTGTTAGCATTTCCATTTCATTTCTAGCTCTTATATTCTTTTCTTCCAACCAAAAAAAGGAAGAAAAAAGATTTGCATCATTTTAGTTTAAAATTCTGCTCACAAACTACTTCTGTTAATTCAGGAGAGCTAAATAAAGGTGGAGAGGGTGGTGGTGATTGGTATTTGCTGACAAATGTTGTCTCACTTCCGATTTGAAATGACCATCCATAGGGAAGAATTGGTGAGCAACTAGAGAGGTTTGTTAGAAAAAGGTAAGTGAAAAGAGAAGACTTGGCAGAGGCATTCTACTGCCAGTGAATGCCAAGTATTGTAGAAGCCTTGTCTCTTGTCTTAGGAGCCCAGTTAAAGTGTGTCCCTGGATTACAGAGGGCAGTACAGTTGGTCATCTATTGTTAGTCTTCGTGGCACTTTTATGTATCCTTGCGACATTGACATTTCTGGTTCATCCAAGTTCTCTCACTGTCTCTGCTCTTTGCCCTCTCCCTTGGTCCCCCTTCTCCTTTTTTTTTTTTCATGATAATGTCTACAGGGTGGTAAGAAAGAATTTTGGAACCAAGAAGTGAGGGACTGGGGAGGAGGAGGATCTATTTTTTATTCTCTGGGTTCTTGCCACTGTCGCAGAGTATACCTGCCCCCGGACAGTTGGGATTCCCAGTTTGAAAAACATGGGAGATTGACTTTCCTTCTGCCTCTTTTTCCTTTGCAGGAAACACATGAAATTGTGGCAATCAAGAAATTCAAGGATAGCGAAGGTATATATATATTTTTTCTGTATATAAACTTATATATTTAATTTCTATGACTAGAATGTGGAAGAGATGGCATTGAGCTGATTACGCTCTATTCCTGAAATTACAAAGTCTCAATCTTAGATAGTGAATATAGCTTATTTTTTATCATGCTTCTCTTTGAAAATTTTAGTTCCTTCAGTGTGAATCTTTCAAATGTCATGATATTAGAAGGCTCATCTTGTCTTTTAAGGTACAGTTGATATTGGAAAACTTGCTTCATATGCTGGATAGAAAGCATGCTATTTATGTTGTTTCTAAATATTATTAAAATAAGGAAATTGATTTGAAGTAAATATTTCTGTGGATTCACACAAATAGCAAGCACTGTGTAAAAGGCTTTAGTATGAGGAACTGTGATATCTGGTTCCTAGTCTGTTAGAAATACAAGAAGTGGTACATAGATGGTATCAAAAGAGTGATTTTATATTAAGTCATTAGGTGAATAAAATTTTTTCAAGGGGAAATACTGTACTTGGAGGGCTTAGTCCCACATCCAAACCATTTCCAAAAGAGTATTAAAATTATACCATGCTAGGTAAAAAAAGGTTTAAATAACCCCCCTTTTTTAAAAAAAATTATGTACAAAAAAGTGATACATCAAAAAATAAATAAAGCATTTCAGTAGTTTATTGGGTTTTAAATGTAGACTATTGGCCATTTAAAAACAGCCAAGTAGAAAAACTTACTGTGAAGACACAATGCTTGAGAAGCTCTAGGCAGCATTTTTCTTTCTTTTTTTTTTGACAGGGACCCACAGTAGAGATACTTTTTTATATCCTAACCCTGTATCAATGTATATAATGTCCTATATGAAACTGAAGGAAATGTGTTACAAAATTGCTTTATTTTACTAATATGAGGTTCTCCATTTTCTATTCTTTTCTGGTCATATAATTCATGTAAATGCTTATTGTGGCATCAAATACATTGATTTCACCACTGATGACTCACAACCTGCCATTTGAAAAATAGTGCTCCACGCTTAGGAGTCACCAGTATAGCATCACCCTTCATATCTAATTAGAAGTATGACAGTAGCAGTCACAGCCTACTTTCATCAGCACATGTTGACTGACTACTGTAAGACAGCAGCCCCTATATTTGTGAACAGTTTCATCACCCTTACCTTAGCGACTCAGCAAATGTTAAATAACAAAAAGGGCTCACTTTTGTGGTGCAGAGTCAGTGGTACTTGATGTAACCTGACTCTGGTGTGCTTGTTATGTGGGGCACATGCACAGCAGCCATTGTCCTGGCAGCCTTAAAGAGAAGGCAATAAAAAATGCTTTTAGCTCATTCTTAAAATAGAAAGAAAGAGAGGGAGGAGAGAAAAAAGAGGGAAAGAAAGAAAGAAAAAGAAAGATACTTCAAATGATGTCCCTGTAGTTTAACAGGAAACAATAGCCCCAGGAATCTGACTCTGCAACCACTTCTTAAGCAGTGGCTTTGGGCTAGCCACAGGTGACCAGGAGACCAGCGGTGATCCACTAAAAAGAGTGGTTGCCAACAGTAAATCAAAGCATAACCTTTGCATGAGCATAAAGACTTCTGTCTGTGCATTCATTCATCTTATAAGGCACATCATCAAGCATCAGTTACCACCAAAAATAATAATTGTCATCAAATTTTTGAAAAGCAGTACAATCTAGGGCATGTATGCCAATGCTTTTTAAAAAACTAAATACCATGTTCTTTGCATTCTCTATCCTCTGCATATCAGTTCTTAGCTTCAATTAAATGATGTATTTGTACCTGTGTTATATCTTCTGAGTGGCAGTCAATAGTGTATCTGTTGAAATTCATTGAGCACTGAATGAGGTGCTGTAAGAGCTGTGAAGGTAAATCAGGTGCAGATGTCAAGAAGCTTATGACCTATTAATAGAATTAAGACCTGTAAATAACTAGCAGTGAAACAGAGTGGAAAGCAGTCAATGCCAGAATGAATTTGTATAATTTTGAGGTGAGGTTTTTTTCTAGCTGTGGTATCCCAGGAATGTATAAATAATGTAGACATGATAGAAAACACTTGATCAGCCCTTATTTCACTAACCTGACAAAACATCACTCCAACTCTGCTTTCATTGCTGTGGGGCCATTATCAGTTACTAAACCTCAGGCATGCAGCCTTATCACCCACTGTTGGTGAACAAGGGAGCATCCTCAAAAGGAGTACACACATTTATATGTTTCCACAATGCCAGGTTTATTAGGTTGGGTGGTCGGAGCTCTGACTTCTTATAGCCCACCAGAGGTGGAGGTCCCACACATATAGGTGTCCAGATGGAGTCCTTATTCAAGTGTTAGACGTGTGGTTTTGGGCGTTCTGGCCCCTCCTAAGGGCATTCCTATTACACTCCATTACTTCAGTCTTGACAGAGCACTTGACATAACTGTTGTTCATGGCTGACAGGGACTCCACAGTGAATTGTCCAAAGTGTTCAAAAAGTCCGCTTTGCTCTTGCTCTGTACACCCACCCGCTCTGCAGATGGACACCTTTGTAGATACACCTATACATACTTCTAGAGGGATACTTCCAAATATGTCGGTGATAGAATCTGAAGACATCAAATTATTTATCACTTTTTACTCCAGTCCTGGTTTACGCACACTTTGCTACTGTTTCCAGTTCTCCCTGGGAGATTTCATACTCTGTTTTCTGTCTTTACCCCTTCTTCCTGCCGGAGTAGTATCTTGCTTAATGGAAAGTAAGGGGAACGTGTGTGGTGAACAACACTTTTGGAGTATGAAGTGTGTATAAATAGTCTAGTACAGATGAGGATGTCCGTTCAACCCCTATGTAAACCACTTTATTCTGAAACAGTTTATCATCTTAAATTTCAGTCAGGCCAATTATAATGAAAATAGAGTTTCATAATATTGTCCTTACTGTCATAAAGCTCTCATTAATCTCTTATTAGTTACTCTGAAAATATTCTCTTGATATCATGATAGTGACTTTTCTAAAGCCAATATTTAAATCTTTGTGAAGATAATGAAATAACCCTGTAAAAATATTGTTAGGCCATAATAGGATCTGAACTTGGTCTGATCCATATTCAAGCTAATCAAGTATTCTCACACTGATGATATCAAGGGATATTTTATGAGAGTATATATTACCTTCTGTTAACTTTAAAAGATTATAACTATGTCCTATTTCCTTATTAAATATCTTTGTATCCACAAATCTGTATAAAATGTTTTGAAACTACATTTTAAGGTAGACCACTATTTAGTTCAAGGGGTCCTTATTATCCTAGGATAACAGAACATTATTTAAAATGGGAGCCAACATTTCATGGTAAATAAACGGTTAGATTGGGAAAAAGAAACTAAAATTACAAAGGTAAGTTTACTTCATCTTATAGTTAACACAATTTAGGTTTTAATAGCAACTTTGTGCTATTTCTTAGAGGAAAGAATCATGTTCTCTTTTGGGGGAAGGGGCAACTTTTATAGTAAAATTGTAGGCTAGGTCAATGAATAGCTTTCAAAATAAGAAAGAGTCATTAAAAATCCACAAAAGACTTTCTCAGTTTTCTTTTCATTTTTTGTATGTTCCTGTCTTTCTGTCTTCATCCTTGTCAGTTTTTTATTCTGATATAACTCTATCAGATTATTTATCACTGTCTTTGCCTATGAGTTTCCATAAAAGACTTGGACACACTAGGTGGGGGACAAAAACTCCTGTTAAAGGGAGAAATTCTTCGGTAATGGCGTTTTTATCTGAGATCACTTCATTAGTTAATATTTTCTTGTTTTGATGTTTGCTTCCTATATATATCATCATAAATATGGAGTCTCAGATAATGAATTCTTTATGATACCCTAAATGATAGTATTATGCATGTGTCTATTAATGTCAGTTTCCACAGAGAAACATTGGCTAATAAACACCTAACCAACCAGAAGTCTCCATAAAATTAGTTCTGCTCAGTATTTGGCTTTTCTGAGAAGAGAAAAATGACTACAGACCAAAAAAATACTAGAGATTGTATAGTTAAAAGGTACTTTTAGACTATGTATGATGATAAATTAGCCTAATTCATCCAGTCTTCTTATAAGTCCAGTCTTATACAATGATATTTGATGTTCAGAGTATAATATTCCGTCACTATTGGATCATCATTCTCATGTATACACGTACACGTGTCTGCTGTCCTCAATTTATAAAGTAATCCAAGAGCACTGATTTAGACTAAATAGCTTTGGACCAGCGAGAATTAAAAGCATTGTTTGTTCAGCCTTTAATTGAAGAGGTTCTGTGGTCTAGAATTTATTTTTGACATGTGCATTTGGATCTTCTGATGTGACACCTTTTGTTTTGTTGGACTTTTCAATCTTCCTTTGAATGTACAGGTGATGGAGTGAGGGGGGATTCTCCCTACTTGTCACATAGCAAGGAAACTGACTCTCAGGAAGCTGTGTTGCAGTCTTTAATTAAGATGGAATTTAGGTTGTCTCTCTACTTTTATATAAAATAAAATTTCTTGCATTAATATCCTGCTGCTGCTTTTGTTTTCTGTAGATAAATATGTTTCCCTGGGAATGAACCTATTTATTCTTCTTAATCAAGAGAAAAATGTTTAATTGATCATCCACTTTTTTCTTTCAATTTATTTCATTCTTATTTTTACCCAGACACTCTACCTTTACCCATAAAGCTCTACCTTTATGTTTGGATTGAGGTACTCTAGACTCTTATTTTGTATAATGGTACAAAAACAAGAGTTCAAAATCTTTGGTCCTTAAATTCAAGAACTTGATTTCTCCATAAGAGAAGCCTTGAAACTAATGTTCCAACCCCTGGTGAAACAGAGAATTCAGTTAACTAAGCTTGAGCATTCTGCTTGTCATGACTTCACCACACTTGCTTTTAATGTCCAAAATAGAGCTCTTTCAAACTTCAGGGATTCTTCTAGGATTTGGTGAACATTTTGCACCTTTCATGATTTAATAATTTACATTGTACTTTGCCTGACCTTCATCTCTGAAGATGTAAGCGTTCTCATCTTTTTTGGTATATATGACAGCACCACTATTCAAACCCTCCTGGCCATGTCAGTCGCCCTCCTATTGATGTTCCCTCCTTAGTCAGGGCCACTGGACTCAAACATGGTATCCTTTTGGTTTTATACAAGGATGGGTTGACTCCCCCCCACCAGTGTACCTGTTTAAAGTTCCATTTTGGGGGGCTGCTTTGGCTATACAAGAATTTCAGGGTTCTGATTTCAAAAAGTAGGTTATAGCTATTTCTGGATTTTTTTTTACAAGCCCACAGTTCTTTAAAAATAGAGTTACAATAGAGATTCAGCTCATCTTTAGATTTTTCTCTTTTCATCACTTATCTTTGCATTTCTCTTGCTCCTGTGATCATTCTTCTTAAAAATAATTTTCTTTTACTTCAGTCAATCTCTCTTTTTGATTTTTTAGGTATGTTAACTGACCTTCCTGACAAGCTTCAAAATAGTTTTGTTTTTTGGCTTTTTTTTGTTTTGTTTTGTTTTGTTTTAGTTAATGTCCTTTCCCTGCCCTGCCATTTAGCTACCACTCAGTTGAATTTACATAATTTTGTCAGAATTGCTGTCTGTGCTAAGCTCAACACCCTCAGTGATAACGGATAACCAAGTCCCCTAGCATGTGTATCAGCAGTATTCACATGGAAGTACCAGCTCTTACACCTAGAAGGACCTTCCGCATCATCTAGAAGAATCCCAAACCCCAATGTGCAGCTGAAGAACCAAAGGCCCAAAGCTGCACAGCTACTATGTGATTAGCTGAGACTAAGACTCAGACCATAGGGTCTTTGTTGAGTTTTTCTTCCACCCACAGCATGCTGCTTTGCCATTCATCTGAGCACTAATAGAATCTATTATTCTATTGGTGGCTGTTCCAACTCACTCTCCAAAGCTCCCTCACTGCCTTCCACCATGTTGCCTATGTCCCTGTGTTCTACTCAATGTGACATTCTCTTCACTCACCTTGAGAAAGTTACTCTTTTTTCGAATTGGTTTCTTCATTTGTAAGCCAGAGGAGGCTGGCCTCAATAAAGAATCCATGGGATTCTATCAAGTGGAAGGCAGGGATTTTTGTGCTTACTTCAGTGGGTTCTGCTACCACCTTTAAAAAACTACCTCAATGAAGAGCATGGCTACTTTCTGACCTCTGAAGAGAAAAACAAACATAAGTGGAATGTGCTTTCCTGTTTCCCATCATGTGATTGTTTAGTGCCCAAATTTTCATCATAAAGTTGAGAGTAGGCCAGGAACCTTAAAAGTACTGGGTGAAACAAAAATGATAGAATATACCCAGTAATGAAGGGTATGCATTTTCTTGCACTTACGAAATTAATAATTCCACTTCCTGCCCATTCCCACTTATTACAGTCTCAACTTTTAGTACCTCTGACTGGCATAAATTAGAGAAGCCTTCATTTCCTAAAAATGATGGACTACTCAAATGAGGTGGTTTGGGCACTGCATACTAAGTGATTTTGTGAACTGCATTTGGAAGATTCCTTTCTATTTTATAACCATTCTTAAGTAGAGTCAGTATAGGTTTGAATGATGCATTACATAACAAAGAACCAAAATTCAATGAGGTTTAGGCTCATAATCAATGAGATTTTAATGAAAATAAACCATTGATTATTATATTTTAAAAGGTGATGGGATTTTTTTAGGGTATGTGTATGTGTGGGGGATGCCCATTTATTTATTTTATGAATAACAAGTTAAGTGGCTTGCTCAAAGTCACCTTTCACACTGTTAGTTGGTTAAAAGCATATAAAATCTAGGTCTTGCATTGTGGCTGCCCATGCCTTAAGGTAGTAAGAGCAAGCCACATGTAAGCAAAGATGTCATCTTCTCGACACCAGTGAAAGCATTCCTGTAGGAAGTATTTGTTGATCCCCTCTTTGTTACCAGGTACAGTCCTAGGTTGTTGGGTGTATATGCTTGAACAGAAGAACTGGGGCCTGTCCTCCTAGAGCTCTCAGTTTGCAGGGGTGGCCAAACAGATGGTAAACCAGTAAGCAAACAAAGATATAAATAAAGATGTGAAAATCTGTAAGAAACTTTCAGAGTATTGTGATAAGGAATAATGGGGATGGAGGCCTGCTTTGGTTTAGTGCGCTAGGCAAAGCTTGTGAGGAGTGACATTTATTTTTTAAATAAATTTTATTGATTATGCTATTAAAGTTGTCCCAATTTTCCCCTTTGCCCACCTGCACCTGGTACCCCCATTCCCTCCAGCATTCCCCTCCCTTAGTTCATGTCCATGGGTCATACATATAAGTTCTTTAGCTTCTACATTTCCTGTACTATTCTTAACATTCCCCTGTCTATTTTGTACCTACCATTTATGCTTCTTATTCCCTGCACCTTTTCCCTCATTTTCCCACTACCCCCTCCCAGCTGATAACCCTCTCTTGTGATCTCCATTTCTGCAATTCTGTTCCTGTTCTAGTTGTTTGCTTAGGTTTTTGTTGTTGTTGTTGTTGTTTTGGTACAGATGTTGAGAGTTGTGAGTTTGTTGTCATTTTACTGTTCATAGTTTTGATCATCTTTTTGTTAAATAAATCCCTTTAACATTTCCCATAATAATGGCTTGATGATGATGAACTCCTTTAGTTTTACCTTGTCTTGGAAGCTTCCCAGACAAGATAAAACTAAAGGAATGACATTTAAACTAAAACCTGAAGGAGCCAGCCCTATAGTAGAATGAGAGTTCTAGGCAGAGGGAATGAGTCCAAAGGCCCTAACATTGAAAAATAAAGTTTGAAGCTGTTTAGAAACTGAAAGACTAATGGGTGGGGTTGGGAGAAGGGGGACATGAGATGAGGATAGAAAAGCAGGCAGGAACCAGGTCATGAGTAATCAATACATTATTTCTTGCTGCATCACTTCCTTGTTAGAAGATCGCTTGCTTCTTACTGAAATCTGTGTGTTTCTGTCTTAGAGATAGGTGAATTTTAGTTTGAGTATCCCAACCTTGAGAATTACTCACATGGTATAGCAGAGAGACTGGTTAGCCTTCTTCATAAGGCTTTTAGTGTTCTCTAGGCTTTAGCGGTTCTAACAACCACAAAATACCACTTCTCTGACTTAGCCTCAAATAGCAGAACAGCTGGACCTCTGTGTCCCTCTCTGCCCCCATTCTCTAAGCTGCTTTGGGAAGTCCCCCATCATATCACACACAGTTCCCTCCTACTGCCAGGTGTCCCCCACCATGCCATGCTCTTTTCTACTGATGTGGGTGCTGTGAGTACCCCTGAAATGGACTGGGATGGTTCCTTGCCTAAGCCACTGTTGGCCTTAACTATAGCTGGTCCTTGGGTTCCTTCTGATAGGCAGTGTCTCTTTCTGCCTTTTCCTAATCTGAGTTTCACCCTTCTCCAACAGTTTTCTTGCTGAAGTGGGAGAATCTTTTCATTGGTGTAACCAGTTCTTGTTTCTTTAAACTCAATTTGACTGGGGTTTAAGACAGAAAATAATCTGAGAAGTACTCCCTCCAGGCACTATATTTATAATACCCCCTCCCCTCTTTGACCCCATTGAGACTTTTTCCTCCTGTGTATCTTGCTTAGGAAGTATTTCTTCCTAGAAGGCATGCCTTAATCTTTCTTACTCCTATCCCTAAACTCAATTTTTCTCCCTCTCCCCTGCCCCAGAAATACCTGAACCTGAGGGTTACACAACTTAGACTCTGAAGCTAGGACTCTGGCCCTTCACCCAAAACCATGGAGGCCAGATGTGTTTCAGAATTTATAACTTGGATTTTAGAATGAAATTTTGAGTTCTTACTTTAGCACCTTGTAATCAGGTACTATTTCTAAAGTACAACAAATGAATATTCATACTAAGTGGGATGCATACACAAAGACTATAAGTGGTCTCATGTCAGTTCAGGTTTTACCTTTAAAGAGATGTGCCATAAGTTTAGAAAAAGTGCTCAGTTTTTAGAATGATTTTTGGATTCTTGGAATTGCAGATAAGGAAGTATGAACCTATCCTTATGTATACACATGTAAACATGGTAGTTAGAATTTTCTGGTGAAATCATAAAAACTCATTTAAAATGAAACATTATCTTCCCCACTCCCCCTGTTAATGGATCCATTAGAATTAATGTGACTTCTGTCCTTCCTCCATGTCTATGGGGGTTTTCATGAGTGGCATTGATGATATAGAAGGAGATGTTGGTTCAGCATAAGTTCTCCACCCCAGTACAGCTATACCATCTGGGATGGACAGATGGACATGCCACGGGAGGATGGCAGGAACCTACAGCAGCTGCTGTTCCAAGAGAAGATCAGACACGCTTAGAATTCCCTGCAACTTGACTGTGTGCTGCATTGTGGATGTGTGGCACATGGCCGCTGCTCACTGAGGTGACTCCCATGCAGCCTGAGGAATAAAATGTTCTTTTAAGCCAAAGCTTCAGACCAAACTTAAAAACATCAGCTGCTACAGATGCTCCATAGAGGCTCCTCTGCATACTGATACGGGTGCTTCCTTTTTATGCTTTGAAATTCCTTCCTCAGAATGTAGTGTTAAACTGACAGTGGGTTCATATGTGGTACCTGGAACTCTGTATTTTTCACATACACTTTACAATAAGGAGGTTAAGAAAATTCAAGCAGAAAATTAGGTTCATGCTGGTCAAATAAGCCTTTTCTTGAAGTTTCTTATTCTTGATCCTTTGAACGAGAAAAGGTGGTATTTAATGTGTCATCCTTAGACTTCTTATGCAGAAGTACTCAAAGTGGAAAGTGAAATTAGTATTTTCAGTGTTCTTAGAAATTTCTGAAGAGTAGTTTGAAAGCTTTAATTTTACTCTCTTTGCCATTGTTTACATTCTAGAAAATGAAGAGGTCAAGGAAACGACTTTACGAGAGCTTAAAATGCTTCGTACTCTCAAACAGGAAAACATTGTGGAGCTGAAAGAAGCTTTTCGTCGGAGGGGGAAACTGTACTTGGTGTTTGAATATGTTGAAAAAGTAAGTCACTAATCGGGGCTGTGGAGATTTGCCTGATTCTTTTTTTCAGGGCTATTTCTGACACTATTAAAGAAAGTATTATTATCTAGTATGACTTCTCAATGTTCTCATAATTTAAGGACTTTAAAAATGGAAAGTATTACCCATAATCACTAGAGAAGTCCTGGGATATATTGACAGATTTTATATAATCTAACCATATAAATATAATCTTAAGTTTAAACAATGTATTGAGTTGCCTTCTGAAGTCTGAGAATCTGTGTTCAACAAGTAATTTTTAGACTTGGTTTATTTTAGTTAAACCTGAGTCAGGCCTCTGAGGGAGGGACAAATAAGTTGGTGGTGATGGTACAGGATGGTAGAGGTTTGTGTAAGATCCTACAAGCATAAGGTGGGCTTCTGATTTGGACATGTGGTGGTGAATGGGTGGGCTCATGAAGCAGCCTTTTGTGAATTGCCAGTGTTTGGGCCATATTTGAGGGAAGAAGATGTGCCAGGAGGCACAAGGTGAGGCTTGAAGAGGTAGGTGAGACCACAGGTAAAGAATTGAAAGCATTGGAGAAAAGAAGATCGCACATTGTTCGAGTTATCCGTATGCTTGTTTAGCATACTTTTTAAAAATTGTTAACTGTTCATGGTATGACCTAAGGGCAAATGTGCGCTACAGTAATCAATTTTATGTGCTTATGATTTTCTTGAATAGCAGCTGACCTACAGCAGTTGGTTATTGTCAAGAACTTAAACCTGTGTCTTAATAAAAATAAAATAAAGTGGAGCCAGATGGCCCTTCTCAAAGGTTTTCTTGATCATTAAATAGGTGGCTCTGCTGATTTCCTTTGTTATTATCTAAAGAAGATTAAGACTGGAGAGGTTTATGCTTGCTTTAGATCAATTCCCCAGGTGTTTTCTGTGGCATAAATGACAGAATGTCACCACTACCACCCTCATCCTGAACTAGAGAGCAATGCTGCTGAGATGACTGACCAGTAATGCGGCTTTTGAAATAATTCAGCCTTTACAAATTCTTTTTCTAATTAAAAAAATAAAGTAACTTCAAAAATATATAATAACTGCATTACAACCAAAAGTTGAAAAATATTACAAGGCTTCTTGTTGTGTTAATCATTTTTTTATGTTTTTTCCCCCAAAATCTGTTTTAAGGTTTCTTTTTTGTGTGTGTCAATTTAGATATTTTCCTAAAGAAGGAACCTTCCCCACCAAAAAAAAATGAAGTTTGATATTTTTTAAAAGTTATTTTAAAAGATTGCTGTAAAATCAGATGCCCTTTATATTAGTTTTTAGTTGTCAAATAATTATGCCATTTGCAGTTTTTCACTGCCAAATAATAAAATTTGACATCTATTTCATTTACCTTTTTGTTTCTGTTCTACTCATGGTGATTATTCACAATTCATAACAATTTAGTGGGGGCAAATGGAGAAATTACCTCTTTGTTTCAGACAGTCTGTCATATCTGAGGTCTGTCTGCTGTTAAGTGGCAGAACTGCTACAGGAACTCTAGTCTTCTGATCCCTGGGTCTGGGCTTCTTGCTCTGGCCCTGTGTTTTTTCAGTGGAGGGTGACCATCACAACATTCCTTCAGTGGCAGTACCTAATGATTGACGAGTCTCAAGAGGGCAAGGAGAAAGATTCTCTAAGTAAGGGTGGGGGGTGGTAATAGAGATACAAGATCACAGGAGCTGAAACAAAGAAGTTTCTCATGTATAAATGCAAGCAAAAGTGGGCAGTACAGGCTGGTACGGCAACTCCACAGGCTAAGAGTCCCAGGTTGCTTTTGCCTTTCTGCTCACCACCCCTGAGATGTGGCTCTTGTCTTCAAGGTAAAGACAGAGCTCCAGCTATCACTTCCCATTGGCCAGGACTTACCTGCATAGCCACACTAGCCATAAGGCAGAGGGGAGATGTACTCTTCATTCTGGCCACCTGTGTATCCACTTACAAATTGTATTACTGGAGAATGAGAGAAGAATGGATTCCTATCTGCCATTGACAGATTTAGAGTTGAATATGAAATGAGACCATTTATTTTCTCTATTACAAAGCCCTCTTATTCCTCCTGTGCATTTGGGACCTCCTATGCAATTGTTAATTGAAAAAGGCAATTCAAGTAGAGAGTCATTTAAAAAATGGTGTATACGTACTTTAAACATTTTATTTTAACTTAAAACACATAATATAGATTTGCCATTCTTCAGAGGTAGGTCAAGGCCTTTTGAGTACTAATCTTCTGATTGGTGCTCTGATGGGTCTTTCTTGCACACATCATACCCATAATGCATCAGCTATGATATCCTGTGCTAGCTTCTTTAAAGTGAAGCAAAAGCTTAAAACCATTGCAAAGCAATCTCAGTGCAGAATCCTGATCACCACCACCATCCATCCTTGCAAATGTTTTATGATTGTTGCACTCACGTTTGCTTAGAGGGCAGTAGGTTTGGTGGTTTTCCTTTATTAAGTCGTTCCAAAGTATTAAACTTAATTTTCTTATAAACAGCAAATGTCTTTTTAAGAACATTATTTCATTGGTTTATATGATGTTCAGTTATGTTAAAATAACAAGTGCATCTGTTATAAATGGGTACAAGTGTGTTGTAAACAAAATCTGACTGTTTATATGCATACAGCTTGACTGGTGAGAACAAAGTTGTCATGTTGTATGTGAGCAGCGGTTTTCTAACTTTTTGGTCTTAGGACTCCTTTACACTTCTAAACATTGTTGGAAACCCTAAGAGTTTTTCATTTAAGGGGGCTTTATCTGTTCCTGTTTCTTGTATTAAAAGTCAAAGCTGAATAATATACAAATATTTATTAATTCATTTAAAGAACAATAATAAGCCCATTACATGTTAACACATATGTTTGTGTGTCAGTCATTCTTTCAACTAAAAAATGGTGTTCCACAAGAAAAGTGGCTTGTTTAGTTTGCAACTCAGTTGCCCAAGTGCTTTTCCTCAATATGACCATCATACTTTGATGTTTAGCAGCAAGAAATGCTTTATGTATATTCCTCATTTTATTATGTAGAGTCCTAAAAATATATGTACTTAAGAATTGAAATTTAATAAAAGTAATAATTTTTACTGCTTCATCAAAAACAACCTCAACCTAAGTTGGTTTGTGCTTATTTTAACTGCAAGGGTGTGGCATTGAAGCATCCAAAGCCTTGATTCATGCTAAAGTGCCACCAATTTATCCATCATTGCTTTGGGCCATAAGTGTAAATGCCAGCACAGTGAAAAAGGCCGAGTGTTATTATGACTGTAGTTTTGACTTCATGGGCCCTCTGTATGGTCTGAGAACTCCTTCCAGAGACCCACAGATCACACTTTGAGAACGGCTGACCTAGATGGCTGTCTACAAACAATAAACTAATGGTGCTGTGGGTCTCAGTTTTCTGCTTTACAGAAGGAATGGAGAATGTTTGGTTCATCTGGAAATTTAGTGAGACCAGTTAAGTGGAGTTTGTACTTAATGAAAAAATTTCATGAGCTTTACAATGGTCACTCCACACTGAAATTTTTTGAATATTGATTTGTTTAGAGTCTATGAATTTTTATTTCAGCAGTATTTTCTAGCCTGTATTTTTTTTAAGATTTTATTTATTTTTAGAGAGAGGGAAAGGGAGGTAGAGAGGGAAGGAAACATCAATGTATGGTTGCCTCTCACACACCCCCAACTAGGGACTTGGTCCATAACCCAGGCATGTGCCCTGACTGAGAATCGAACCGGTGACCCTTTGGTTCACAGGCCGGCGCTCAATTCACTGAGCTACACCAGCCAGGGATAACCTGTTTTCATTTATGTACTGATTGTATTGATCACTGCTAATCTTAGGGATTATTTCTTTTAAGAATATTTTCCAGTTCTCCCAGGAATATTTGCAAGGCTTAGTTTTATTGCAAAGTTATATTAAAGATGCACAATGCATTGTGTTAAAATGACTGTTCCCCTCCTCCTTTATACATTACAGCGTCTTATCTCTTCTTTGTATTGCTTTTCCTTTGAAAACTGCTAAAATGATGCCTAAAAGTTTGAGAGAAAGTGCAAAAGTGCACAGGGTTATAATTTGGGACAACGCTAGGGAGTAGTAAAAATGGCAATTCTCTTTAAAAAAATCACCTTGATTTAATACAATATCCGGCTTTAACATGAAAAAGGTTATAGATGAAAAGCAAAACAATTTTTAAAAATGCAGGCTGAGTATTGGATGAATTATCACCTAAAATGCATTTTTAAATTGTTAATACATGATTTATGGGCCTACCTAATTTTGGAGATTAATGGCTCCCTATTTAATTTTTAGAATATGCTTGAATTGCTGGAAGAAATGCCAAATGGAGTTCCACCTGAAAAAGTAAAAAGTTACATCTATCAGTTAATCAAAGCTATTCACTGGTGCCATAAGAATGATATTGTTCATAGGGGTAAGTATGGAATTTTTGGAATGGAAGATATTAAAACATCAAAGTTATCAATAAAATATCTTACATATTACTATAAGAATATTTCCATAGACACTGACATTCCATTTAGATTAAATACATTTTGAAAGTACAGATATGAGACAGCATTTGAGTCCCCTTTGGTCCTTCAGGTAGGCCAGGTAATGTGAAACAAACCCAAAATCAGGCTTTAGAAATAGTCCCTAAGTCACTGACAATGCCCCTCCCCTGCTACACGCACACTGTGTTGACAGTCACTGCTCATTCCCTTAGAGACCAAGATCTCCAGTCTGTACCTTCACCTCCTAATCTTTCCTACCTGTTACTGAAAACTGCCCATTTTTGCAGGTTGTATGCATGATCAACTTGACATAAAAGCCATGATTATACTTCCTTCAACTCTTAGTTTGTTTTTTATTGCCATGAAGTGCATAGTTTATAGCAGTAAAAGGGAAATTACTTTCTGAGCACCGTCTTTAACTCTACATCATTTATATTCTGATAATCTTTCTTATATTCTAGAGTTTTACAATAATGGGACACAAATAGATACAACAATAAAGCTCAAAGATGTTTGTCAGAAAATGTTGCTATATTCACTTTTGTCTTGAATTATCAAATAAGTGAATGCTACATTTTAATTTACCTATACACAGACAAAAGGATATCACTAAAAATAGCCTCACTTTAAGAATAGCTTATAAAGAATGCCAACTTCTATTATTTCTAGATTGAGACAGTTGATATTTCTCTTGTGTTTGACTGTCATAGCAGTTATCTTAGCAGGGATGGCATGGATAGATGTTCAAGTCAGCTGGAAATCTGGTGTCTAGAGTAAAATAACAGTCTATATTATGCAATTTGAGGACATTAATAAGGAACTGATTTAGCTGCATTTCCATAGTGATAGATTGATTTTGTTAAGTGCATAGTGAATCAATGGGTGGGAATTAGTAGAAATCATGATTCTGAAATCTACAGATTTCACTCCTACTTCTTCCCTATGTCCAGTTTCACTTCTACCATATGATATAGATAATGGATACTCTAAAAATGCAATTGTGAGATGCCTCCCAAGGGGGTAATTAAACTGCCTCTTCTTGGTGTTTCTACTCCTCAACTCCCACCACATCTTTAAAAATCCATGGAAAAAATGAGAACTCTTTTCTTTTTTTTTTTTCAATTTTTATTTATTTATTTTTAGAGAGGGAAGGGAGGGAGAAAGAGAGAGAGAGAAACATCAATGTGCGGTTGCTGGGGGTCATGGCCTGCAACCCAGGCATGTACCCTGACTGGGAATCGAACCTGCAACACCTTGGTTCGCAGCCCGCGCTCAGTCCACTGAGCTACTCCAGCCAGGGCTGAGAACTCTTTTCTTGACTCATTCAATATAGCTTCAACATTAGACATTTATAATTGTGAACCACATTGAAAAGGTAAAGAGATATGTAAATGTAGAAATGACATAGAAAATCATAACAAAATGTATCTTATATGTATTTTTTCCTCCAGTAAATATAATGCTAGTTATTTACTCTTGTACGTGCTTTTAAGGTATGTTGTGGGTGTAAGCATTTTATATTGTACCTCCAAAATTTGTGTTATTAGTATTTTATAAAGTAAAAATAGTTTCTTAAAATGTGGTGGCCTAGATTCAATCATTCTTAAATTCCTTTCAGAGGTACAATTAATGCCTTTAACTTTTAAAGGGAAAATATTTTTGAAATTGTGGTCTGCATGTTCCTCAAAAAGAAATTAATTGAAACTTTTATGTGGCAGCATAGAATGTTACTCTGCTTTTCCCTGCCGCAGGTTTCTATTCAAATTATTCTGGATAATTCTAGTTAGACGCTGTTATAGTGATCTAAGGGTGTTAATCAGTAGTACATGGCACATTTTTTAATAATTGCTTTTCAATCTTGATACTCCAGATATAAAGCCAGAAAATCTCTTAATCAGCCACAATGATGTTTTGAAACTATGTGACTTTGGTAAGTTAAAAATACATTGAGCCCTTCAAATATAGTAGTCTTCTCTTAAATGTAATTTTACTTTATGTACCTTCAGTTACCCATGGTCAGCTGAGGATCAAAAATATGTAATGGAAAATTCCAAAAATAAGTCATAAGTTCTAAATTGTGTCATTCTGAGTAGTATGACAAAATCTCATGCTTTCCTGCTCTGTCTCGCCTGGGATGTGAATCACAGTATCTGTCTCAGTTATCAGATTAACTGTCTCAGTACACCACTGCTTGTGTTCAAGTAACCCTTATTTTATTTAATATCCCAAAGTGCAAGAGAAGCTGTAACATGCTTCTTTTATGTGAAAAGGTATGTATGTGTAGGAAAAACAGCACATACAGGTTCAGTATTATCTGAGGTTTCAGGCATCCACTGGGAGGGTCTTGGAATTTAGCCCCTGTGAAGGGGAGACAACTATAGAAAACTAAGATACTATACCACATAGATAGCTTTTACAGGTATATTAAAATTATTTTTTTATGTTTTGACCTAAAGTAGCAGAGGAGCATTCTTTTCAGTTATATGTTAAAAAAATTAATTGCAGGGAGATTACTATTCTGTTTTTGCTGTAGATACTATTGTCTACCCTTTTTTTTTTAATTCATCATGCAGTATTTATTTAATGAGAATTCAAAGCAAATACCTGCATGTGCATACATTCATAGGTCTGGCACTTAATGACCCCAGATAAAGAATTTTCTAGGAAATACTATTGTGGCCTTCTGGTTTGAGTAGGCTAAAAATAATTTTTAAATATTTTAAATGTTGATAAAATTGTTTTAGGCATAATCATAAACCATGAAAATACGCTTATGTAAATATACACATGTATATGGTATAAATGCAAAAGTTATATATCTGTGAGTTCAAAAGACATTTTTAGAACAATTCTATTCTCTTTAAATGTTCATTGAATGGGATTAGTAATTTATGTGTAATATTCCAGCTCCTGATTGAATGTGGAAGGAAGTTTTTGAGTTATATTCTCTGCGAGTAGAAAATTGTATATTGTTTCCATGTATAAAACTCTGTATTAAACACTTTTAAGCATTTACATTAAAATAATTTATAAAAGTTTTCAAAATATAGGGTGACTTTTTAAGTTATACTTTCGTTTCATCCATATGTTGAAAAATAAGTTGGCTTTTATAATGTTATTTTTTCAGATACTCAAATATAATCACATACAATTATAAACCTGCACATATAAATAAGAAGACATTTCATTTTGTACACAAAAATTAGATTAGTACTTAGCAGATGGCGCACACAAGTGAGACATGGAAACACTGCAAGAATTCACTGTAGAATGACCAGTTTTGTCCAATGTAGCAATTGGAAACATGTGTAGTTGTTTTTAGTCAATATTTTCAAAGAATTGAATATTATGAACCTGCTTGCTTAAGGAAAAACGTTTTGCAGAACTTAAGTTTCTTCATATTTTATGATAAGGAATGTTGCAGAGATGAGCTCTGCTGTATCTTAAACATCTGAAGAAGTGCTTAGAAGAATAAAAAGGAAATACTGAGTACTATATTTAAATGATTTTGATCGTGGCATTTTTAGAACTTCCTTAGCTTGATGATTTTCAGGAATAATAATCAATTTTTTACTTTTTTTTCCTTATTTTTTTACTTTCTATCCATAATTGTGATAACCACCAAGTACTGAGACTTTGTGCACCTCATTGACCCTTTATTGTGCATCCATGAACTATGGGGTTGGTTACTGAAACTTGTGAAGCAAGTTATAAAAGGTGCCTGTGGTATGTTCAGTAATAGGAACAGGATATCCCTGGCCTAGTGTCATTTCAAGAAAAGGCCAGTTTAAATGGTCCGAAGTTCCACGTGGAGGCACCACTATGCCCTGGGGATCCCCTAGAAGGACTTCCTAATTACCTTCCCGCCTAGAGCATGTAGCTTCTTTGTTTAGCTGGAGGAACCCCATTCAAAAATACTAATATTTCTTCAAAATATGTCTTGCAAAGAAGTATTCATTAACTGAAGTTAGTGTTTTGTTTTTCTGCTGTTTTTACTTTTTACTGTCCATTTTAGTAAATACTATTTTCCACTTTTCAAAACTGATACACACCTTAATTTTTACCTCTAATTTTAATGTTCTTGTTCTCTATAGCTATTCACAATCAATCCACATTGCTTTTGATGAGTTAGATGGGTAATAAACTTAACTGTGGGTTTATTTTGTGACCCTAAAACCTTTTGAAAGGGTTTTGGTGGGAAATAGCAATAGATTCTAAAAGTAAAAAAGATACCTCTAATATGCTTCTCAGTCACATTAGGAAATGAAAATAATTTTGGCTTGCTTTGTTTTCATCATTGCCAACCATTACTTGTTTATATAATAGCTGGAACTGATCAGCAACAGTAGATATACAAATACCATGAATCCCCACATAGCCAAATATAGTGACTCTCTTTAAATCATTAGTTTAGCTTTGACTTCTTGGCTTTTGTGAAACTTTGTTTTGTTCCCAAGACTTGTATTTATTGAGAGAACTGTTTTTTTAAATATGCTCTGAATGCTTATTAAAGCATGTGATAATTCTGAAAACATGGATTTCTTTAGCATAGAGGGAGACTGTTTTTTTTAGTGAATATATATTTTAATTGACATATGAACAGTGGACTAACCTTTTAAAATAACAAGGGCACTATTAATAAACAGCTGATCAATAAGACTGTCAGCTGATTTCTCAAAAGTGACCTTGCAGGCAAGAAGGGGCTGAAAAGAAGTATTTCAAGTCATGAAAGGCAAGGACCTCCATCCAAGATTGCTCTATCCAGCAAAGCTTTCATTTAGAATGGAAGGGCAGATAAAGTGCTTCCCAGATAAGGTCAAGTTCAAGGAGTTCATCATCACCAAACCCTTATTTTAGATTTATCTAAGAAAAAGAAGATAAAAAGATATGAACAGTAAAATGACAGCAAACTCACAATAATTAACAACCACACCTAAAACAAAAACAAAAACAAACTAAGCAAACAACTAGAACAGGAACAGAACCACAGAAATGGAGATCACATGGAGAGTTAGCAACAGGGGGGTGGGAGGAGGAGAGAGGGGGAAAAGGTACAGAGAGTAAGTAGCATAGACGGTAGGTAGAAAATAGGGGGAGGGCAAGAATAGTATGGGAAATGTAGAAGCTAAAGAACTTAATGACACATGAACATGAAGTAAAGGGGGGGAATGTGGGTGGGAGGGGGTGTGCAGGGTGGAGGGGAATGAAGTGGGGGAATGGGACAACTGTAATAGCATAATCAATAAAATACATTTTTAAAAAATAACAAGGGCACTATTAATAAACAGCTGATCAATACCAGTCATTATGTTCTTTTGATGTTCCTTTAAAATATTGCTAGCATTGAAATATTTTGCCAACAAGAAATTATTTCTTTTTCAAAGTTACACCTTTGGACTTTGCTGTTTTTCAGGTTTTGCTCGGAATCTATCAGAAGGCAATAATGCTAATTATACAGAGTATGTGGCCACCAGGTGGTATCGGTCCCCAGAACTCTTACTTGGGTGAGTTACTTTATCCACATGGAATGACATCTGCATATCTGCTGATCCTGTATTATTAGCTCTGGGATCATCTATGGAAAATAAGAATGTCAGTTAATTAAATACCAGTTACCTATTCCAATGGAACAAATCACCCCAAAACTTAATGGCATAAAACCAAACACCATTTTATTTGCTTATGATTCTGAGTGCCAGTGATTTGAGGGAGTCAGCAACTTGAGTTCAGCCAGGTGGTTCTTCTGTTGTTCTTAATTGGAGTTGCTAATGTAGCTACAGTCAGTTTGTGGGTCATCTGGGCTGGTTGGTTTATGGGGCTTTAGCTGGGACAGACCATCTGTGTCCAATGGAGACTCGTCCTCCAATAGGCTAATCCAAATTTCTTTGTGTAATAACAGAAAAGCTTCCTGCCGCATTAGGGCAAGCCCTAAACCAAAAGTAGTTTTCAGGCCTCTGTTTATATGTCTTTTGCCTCATGGACCAAAGCACATTATATGGCCAGGTCCTGATTCAAGGGATGGAGAAATTAACTTCACCTCTTGATGGGAGGAGTGGTAGGGTCACATTACAATGTGGGAGATGTATGGAAATGGGGGGAATCACTGTTGCCACCTTCGTGAATAATCTTTGACATTAAGAATGTGGATGTCCACAGAGGTTATGGACCTCTGTGAACTCAGTGGGATGCATAGTCCATTTCTTCTGGGCGGGATTATAATTTGAATTTACTGGACATTATTTGCCAAAGAAGAAATGAATATAAATGAGATCATTCATAGAACCTCATCTGAGGATTCAAGTATGGTAGGACTTGTTATAATATGGTTTTGTGTGTCATTTGGCCCCAACAAGATAATTCTGAGGACAGTCCTATTGCAAAACTTTAGAGAGTATTTGCTGCCTAATAATACCTATGAGAGAACTTTAGTGATGTGTGGAAGGCACCCAAAGTAGATGAGGACTCCAAATAATTTGATTCAAATTGAATATTGCTAATTAATAATTGCAAGTGTCAATACTAGTTGAAGAACCATGTTATTTGTGTAAAAATTCCATTGATATCAGTTGATATTTGATTAAGATTAATAATTACATTTTTGTACATTCTCAAGACTTTGTCTTTAACATTCAAAATAGTTCCAGCTGTATAAGTTATTCAAATCAGTTGACAGAAGAAAAATAACGTTGGAGTGGGCATATAGAGATTTTCTGGGCATGTGGAGATTTTTCATAGGTTTCTCCATCTAGCCCAAGTTTTCTCTGTCATAGGTATAAAAAAAGACCAGTATCCTTCCCTCCCCAACAACCTACCAAAAAAAACCCCCCAAAACTACATGGAGTTTCCTAATATGGTTCTTAGGTTTTTTTATGGAAAGGAAATGAGATAAAATATTGACTTATTCAGTGATTTATTGTCCTAGAAATGTATTCTGTATAGTGTTAACAGTGCTTTAATTTGGAATATTTGTTAAAAGTTTTGTATCACTACTATACCATTATAGTATTGTAGAATGTTATTCCACTTTTTCAGATATTTTATTTTGGCTTTCCCTTTTTAAAGCTTAGATTATTTATGTATGAAACTAAAGAAAATACAGTTTCTTATTTAACCTACTATATATAATTTAACTTAAGGCATTAGATATTGGGGTATACATCTAATGGTGTTTTGGCAATACCTAGATTCTTGTGTATAGCCTCCATTTATTAATAACAATAAACTCAGATCCTACAAGACATCTAAACCCTAAATAATGGGGAAAAATGCTTTGAGGGGAATAGCTATCATAAAGCTTCATGTATATAGTACAAATAGATTCAAGTAAATAATACAATAGAGTTTAGCCCCATCTTAGCTATTCGCAATTGTGACTGTGCAGTCAAAGGTTAAATAATATTCAGTGCTTGTTCTTTAAGAAGACACATAAGTCAGTAGTACAATTTTAGTAGACTGAACTCAAAAAAATGGATAAGATTTAACTTTTTGACATTTAGAGAGCTAAAGGATAATTACCTAGAACAGTGATTTTTAAAACATACAGTGTACTTGACTATTTAGTCAGGGGCACTGACCTCTTTTCCCTGAGATTGTCAAATAAAAAAATGACAATAGCCAATATAACAATAGCCATCTGGTGTGAATGCCCTGCCTTGAACCATGAACATATAGGTTATATAATAGAGTTGCATCTTATTGGTCACATCACATAATTAGATTGTGTCTGATTGGTTAATTTGTGGTATAAGACATCCTTATATACAAATATAGGTACCTGATTTTTAAAAAAGTCACATGGAGCAATGTGGTAGGTAATTATTATTATTTTGTGTAAATCAATCAAAATTATACCTGTTTTTGTCAGGTCAGCAAAAAATATATATTTTTGGTTTGCCACAGAACTTTGTAATTAGTTTATGTCTACCATGAGTTGACAATTGCTGACCTAGAACATAAATTTCTTAGGAACATTTTATTCCCCAAGTGAGGTGTTAATCAGACATGTACACTGTGTTTAGGTTTATTAAGGTGTTTATGTTCCAAATATACCCGAATGTGAATAGATTTCAACTTAATGTATGCTAAGTTGTTATTAAATTGATGGTTTTATTAGCATAGATTTATTCACTTGTGTTCTGAATTTTTACTTGAATATCCATAGTTCCTATTTTTATAGCCTCCCTTTTTTCCACATGGCACTTTTTAATTCCTTAAATACATAAATGTACTTTAAATCGTGAATCTGTTCAAAATAACTTGGAAATTATTGAAATGCATTTCTTCAGTTGCCAAGATAATCTCCCTCTTTGCTTTTCAGAGCTCCCTATGGAAAGTCCGTAGATATGTGGTCGGTGGGCTGTATTCTTGGGGAGCTTAGTGACGGACAGCCTTTATTTCCTGGAGAAAGCGAAATTGACCAACTTTTTACTATTCAGAAGGTGCTAGGACCACTACCGTCTGAGCAGATGAAGCTCTTCTACAGTAATCCTCGTTTCCATGGGCTCCGGGTAAGAGGCTTTGCTAAAAACCAAAATGGAATCAGTACAGTGGTATTGTTCATTACACAATGGAAATGCATAGCTATTCCCTTTCTCATTACAGCGTTTATCGTCCCTATTATAATGTTTTATTTTTGAATTTTATATAGTATTTGTGGATTTTAAAAAGTGGTCTGAATTGGAAAGTATGAGCTGCTTATGTTTTTCCTAATTTGCACATTCCAGTTTTTCAAAGTCTTTTCTAGTATGTGTACTATTATATTCTAAACTTTGGTTATCTCAGAATGTTTCTTTATCCAATATATTAAGCATCCCCAAATTCATAAATAGTTGTTGCTTATTTGAGCAAACATTTGTAGTGATTTGAGAAAGATTATGAATTTTTAACATTTTACAAATTTAAATGTGCTGTTCTAGTGGCTATTTCTTGTTCGTCTGTTGACAGTGAAACATCATCTTCTTTTCACACTAGCGCATTGCCTTGGCAAACCTTTTCTACACTTGCTAACTTTGTACAAAACTTTTCAGAGAATATATTAAAAAGGGTCTTAAAATATAAATTTTTGCCCTGGCTGGTGTGACTCAGTGAACTAAGCACCAGTCCTGTGAGCCAAAAGGTTGCTGGTTTGATTCCCAGTCAGGGCATGTGTCTGAGTTGCGGGTCAGGTCCCTGGTTGGGGGTGTACAAGAGGCAACCAATTAATGTATCTCTCACACATCAATGTTTTTCAACTAATTGATGTTTCTCCCCCTCTCTTTCTCCCTCTTTTCCTGTCTCTCTGGAAGTAAATAAAATCTTTTATTCATTCATATATATATAAACTTTCTCCAAATGAGAGACAACCAGCTTGCAAAAAACACCTCATGAGAGTGGCCAGTTATAGGCTCTTTCTTTCTTTCATCTACCCACAAAGCTATATTTTTAGTTGTCAACTACCATGTTCGGGCCAGTATGCCAATTGGTAGTGGCCATTGTAGGGAACTGTAAAATAAGCTCACCACCACTTCCTTTCTTTCTCTTAAGTACATAATTCTCAAAACATGTTTTCTTGACATTTGCAAAGCACATTGTTTCTTCCATTGACTTGCTGGACTTCAGTTTACTTCACTTTGACGAGCACCCCTCCTCACACATGAGTGTCCAACATAGCACCAACTCTTGAATGTGAAAGGAAGGAGTGAATGGAAGTGCAGAGTTTCTCTCTCATTTCCTTCCTGTTTTCTCTCTCTCTTCCAAGTCTGTTACCTCCAGCAAGTTTCTCTTTTCTCCTTTTATTTGTGCTTTTGTAAGCCAATAATTAGCCAAATTATGGCCATAAATTAGGATGCATGTAGTTCAACAATTGTTATTAAGCATTTGTCATGCTAGATGCTAAAGGTATGAGATTGGGTAGGAGTCACCCTCGGTCTAACCGAAAAAAAAACCTATTCAGATACAAAGTTATTCATAATTCATGAATTCCTGTTTTACTGAGAATACATCCAAACTCCTTCCCGTAGCTTATGACACCTCGCCTGATCCAAGCCCTTCTAGCTCCCTGACCTCTGTGCACTCTGCTCTGCATTCCCTTCCCTCGCCAGACTCTCACCACACTTGCTTTTCTTTGTCTTTGATTTTCATAAACATTCCAAGGCTTTTCTAATTTCCTGAATCTGAGACTTGTGCCTCCTTTCAGTAAAGACACTTCCCCTTGTGCAACCCCTTCTCATTTTGTAAATTTCAGCTCCAAGAATGCCCCCTTTCTCTGACCCCCCAACATACTACCGCCACCTTCTTTCTATTGTATTGTCTGCCATAGCACCCTTTTCTCCCCATCAGAGCACTTACCATAGTATGTAATTCTTTTGTTTGTTTTCTTGTTAATTATTTATCTAGTTCTCAACCCCTAGAATATAAGCTCCCCAAGGGCAGAAATCAGGTTTTATCAGTGTATTTCCAACATCACTGAGCATGTGACCCAATCTATGTTGTCAGTACATAAGTTCAACTATGTTTCCTTTCTGTCCATCTCTAATACTACTTTCACTCTTCCACCTTTTACCTAAACTATTTGACAGCTGCTCCCAAACTGATCACTCCAACTTCCTCTATTCACTTCAGTCTTTTCACACTGCCTTTAGAATGCTCTCCCTCAAACCTCAAATTTAATTTCATCTCCTTTATGTTTAAAAGCCCCTACAGGATTGCTGGTTACGTTTAAACTCCCTTGGGGCGGCAGTAAGAACCCATGGTTCCTAGCCCTCCAGCTTCGTCTCCTATCCTTTCCCGTCCCTTTGCCTCTGCAGCCACATTGACCTCCTCACCATTTCGTTGACATGTTGCTTCTGTAGTGCTGTGTTTTCATTTCTATAATGCTCACAGTGCTCACCACACTCCTGGGAAGCTCTTCCTCCTCCCTCCCCTAGACTCATGTCAAATGTCCTCCCCCAAATAAAGCCGTTTTAGACTCCTCCCAGGGAATTGATGACCCCTCCTTCTGTGCTCCTGTAGCACTTTGATCATTTCTCTGGCAGGACTCACTCACTGCAGTCTCTTTAGCCAGTTTGCAAGTATGTATCCTCACTGGACCAATAATAAATTCCTTGAGGAAGTGAGCTGTCATGTTCACCATTGTATTTGCAGTACACCTAGAGTAGTGCCTACTGGGTTGAATAGCATTAAATGATTGAATATTTGACTTCAGGATTTTAACTCTAACATCTAGAGCCTCAAGCTTTTGCCTGCTGGCTGCCTTGTTCTTTGCCTGGTTGAAGAGGCTCTTGTGCTAGATTCCCTGAAGAGAGTGTAAACAAATGTCATGGTACCCAGCCTTAATAACTTACAAAACTAGCTGAAGAGTTAAAATGTTTGTGCATGAAATAATTAGAAAGCAATACAGTTTATAATTAAGCATGGTGTATAATAAAATGCTGCATTCTTTCCTACATTGTACTAACATTTTCTAATACATCTCAATGTGGTTGAGACCATGAGAGTGCGAAACATTCTGGAGAGTTAGAAATCATAGTTGGCTGCATTCCCTAGGCAATGATTTATGTAGAATTTGAAATTTGAAATGGATATTGAAGAATAAGTGGCATTTGGTTTGGATAGGCCACATGAAGGCTGTCTTTTCCTCATTTGTCTATGGTCCTATTTGTTCCAGAGTCACTCACTGAACAGTGTTATCTGCAAAGTGCTAGAGAGCACATGACAACACTGCTTACAAATATCCTTCAGAAAAATTGCTCCTTCCATGACACTTTGGTTTTTATAGACCTTAATGTTTATACATGTTAGTCTTTAAGATTTTATGGTGTTTTAGCTAAATTAGTTTAATCTATTTGGGGGGTTAACAACATCTTTTGAGGGACAGTCTTCCTTTATCATTTTCCCTGAGAATGTTTGAAACAGATAGCTAAGCACATAGGTCGTGTGACCTGCAAGAGCCGTGAAACATGGACTCACCAGTAACTAGCCTGGTGTTATTTGTATTTTGCTTTAGTTGTGTAGAGATTGGAAAACGACCAAGATGTTGTTTTAATGGTGTGCACATTATTTTGAAAAAGTAACAATTGTTCTCCCATAGTATAGGGCATACACTCTGAAGTTAAGACTGTGGGGTTCAAAGCCTGGTTCCATATTTACTAAGTGACTAGACAAGTTTCTTGTGCCTCTGTTTCTTCACATATAAAACAATGATAATAGGAGTTCCACCTGATGGGGTTGTTGTGAAGATTAAATGTTGTATGTAAGATTCCCAGAGCAGTGCCTGAGACATAGTAAGTGCTCAGTAAGGAGGGAGGGAAGGAGGAAGGAAAAGAAAGGGAGGGAGGGAGGAAAGAGGGAAGGAAAAAGAAAGACCCATTGAATGGGATATGCTTTAAACTTCTATGCTTGAGTTTTGCTTATTTGTTGAATTATTAGAAGGGTAGTTTTCATTCAAAAGCACATAAAAATTTTTTAAGCTAAGAGTTTGCTTGGTTATTTTTTATCATAATATTTCTAATATCTTTTGACTTTCAGCATTTCTTATCAAAGAAATGTTACTCTGAAGGGGAAAAAGGAAGGAGTATCTGGTAACATAAGATAGACCTCATAAGCAAAATATCATTAAGATGTACCAGTATAGTCTTTTATCACAGCAAGACAGGTATCCCTCTCTCTCTTTGGGCCAATAATTAATGCTCTAACAACACCCAAAGGAACCTCTGCATCTCTCTGAGGAGAAGTGCCTAGGTATGGAAAGAGTGTGGGTTTGGACCACAGACTTGGGGGCAAAGTACTAGTTCTATTGCTTTTTAATTATGTTACTTGTCTCGTACAAGTTAATTTGAACTTTCTGATCATCACTTCCCACATTTCTAAAATAAAAAGAATGATAATTGCTAAAATGCCTCACATAGCATCACTGTCCTCAGAAATCAATGTTCGGTTATTGCCTTTGTATCTGTGTTAATTAAGTTCATGGCATTTCTTCTTCCTTTATGTACAAGATGCTGCTCTACTTTTCTCCATCCTTACATTTTTCTTATCTTTCAAAACCGAGCTCAAATATTAGCTAAGGATTCTTTGTTCTACATTTGCAAACCACCTTGGCCTCTCCTTTCTGTGAGCTCCAAGTGGAATTTATGGCTGTGCAGTTCAGTACTGATTCCTTTCCCGCACGACTGAAGAGTGCTTGAGTGCAAGGTTTAGGTCTTACCCATATTCTCTCTCCTGCCCTACCCGACACTGTGGGGGATGAGGTCATAATCACTCCTAAATGCCTTGTTTGAAGTTTCCCACATAACCAATCTTCCCATCTACTCGCTTAGCATGCTTAGGTATTTCAGTACTTTGAAATGTGCTTATGTAGGTATAAAGAAAATATATATTGAAAGCAAAATAGCCCTCCCACTGGGAGGGAGTTCATGGAGTTGGCCTAATACTTTATCATCCACTTAGATACTGTGAAATGTGAGTTGACAGAGGGAAGGACAGAACATCTAAATAAGCTTGACCTCTTCCCTTCATTTTATTTAAAAATACATTTGTTAATTTAGGAGCCTGTTTGCCTTCTGTTCCAACTTACATAAAGGAAGAAATTGAAAACATGTGACCAAAAGTGTATATTAAAAGCAATAATAGAATGTGTCTGAATTCATTATTTCTATTGTACCTCTGTGGCCTTTCAGGTACTGGCCTCTGTCTTTTTCTTTTGTTACTTCTCTAATGTTCAGGAGTACATGATACCTTGTTGTGAAAAAGACAACAGTGGTCTGTATAAGCAGAGAAGTTCTGTATAAACTGTATTACAACTGAATTATCTATATAAGAAGGCAATACTATATCATACAGTATCAAATTTTTATATTTTGGTTTGTTTTGCATGCTTCAATGTTATCTAACAAGATTTAAGTATCACCTTTCACCAGTGAGTTTTCCTGTTATTTAACACCCAATCCTATTAATCCATACCTCAAATACAGACACCAAAAGTAATATACATGTGAAATAAATTTGAATTGATTGGCACTAGGGCAATAACTTCCATTTGTCTGCTACCTTCTACAGCAATGACAGTGCGTGCACACACATATCTTCCCCATGTGCTAACAACACACCTGTCATGTTGTTCTTCCAGTTTCCAGCTGTTAACCACCCTCAGTCACTGGAAAGAAGATATCTTGGAATTTTAAACAGCGTGTTACTGGACCTAATGAAGGTGGGACAAATTGATGTCGTATGAAACTTCTTTTGGTTTGTGGGTTCTCTTGTGTCTTAATTGTGACCATAGCCTGCTTTTATGAATTAAATGTTTTGTTATTAGATGTGTAATAGTGAATAATGGGGGATTATATCATGTTAAAAGGCATGGAATTTATTGAAAATATTAGCAGTATCTGGTATTGTAACATTCCATCTAAGCAGGACTGTGAGCTACCTAAATTATATTCCTAAAATTGACAGGATAATGACAATCTAAATATAAATAATAAGAAATAATTAAATTTACTCAGTACTCAAGAGCTGCTCAGGTATAAGGTTTTAAAACAAATCTTAAAATAAATGTTGAAAGAAAAGAGATTCTAACAGTTTTTGCATGATATTTAAGGGCTCCCATAAGGTTATTTTACCAGTGAACCTAATTCTGCTCCTTTTTTAATTTGGCCTCTTCTCCCCAAGACTTGGCTCTTTCTGGCTCTTCTTTTGACACAGATAATTGACCCCACTTCTACTACTGTGGCTGAGTGTTCCCCCTGTTGCTAGTGTCCCCATGCAGAACATCTTCCTTCTCTCAAGTGCTAAAAATGATCTCACAGTTTTTTATTCATGTTTTTCTTCCCTAGTAGACAGAGTCAGCCCCTTGAAGAAGAACTGGGTTTGGGCTTTTTTTTTTTTTGCTCATTTTTTCATATTTCTTCAGCTTTCAGTACAGCCAGCCAGTACATAAGCAAGTGCTATTGTTGTTGTTGTTTTTTTTAATAGTAGACCTTCAAAAAATAGTTCTTAATGGATGAGGTTTATTTTATACCCATTCAGACAACCATCAAAATCAGAGGTGGTTACACTGTGCATAGGGACTTTAAAGGCATACTTAGCACAGTTGCAAATTGCGGAGCAGTGCCCTCAGAACTTTGCTGTGCTTTAAACGATGGTAATCTGTGTGCCAAGGAACACTGTAAATAGGCATGGGGACAGAGGTGGGGAAGGGAGCATGGCCTTTGGGGAAGGCCATGTACCGTAAAACCTTTCAAAGACATTCTCAATATTCATTAACCTAGAAAGTCTTTCAGAAACCCCACAGCAAAGAAGCAATTCTGTCTCACCCAACATTTCCTTAATTTAATTAAATACTGAATACTTTTTAAAAAATAAAACTCCATAGCACTAGTGTTCTTCTGAACACAGTTTGAGAGATGCTATTAAAAAAAAGAACCCCCAAGACTCTTTCAGCTTAATTAAACATAAATTATCTCTTAAATCAGTTGGGTTTTATCAATATGTTCTTTCAGTCAATATTTATTTATCAGGGTCTTAATTATTTGGTAACTTTAAAAATGTAAATAGAATAAAGTAGAAGAACTGAATTAAATGCTATTTCATGTTTTCCGCATTGTCTCTTTTTAGCTAAAAATAATTAAACTTTCTTTGTTAAATTGTCACCAAATGTAATTACCAAACATCAGTGTGGAGGTACCTAGTAAAATCTAGCACAGCTAAAAGTACATCTTTCTGCATTTATACAAGTTTGGAAGTTAAGCAGTCTAATTCCTATTTATTTAATATATTTACCCTCAAATTTCCTGAACATTAAAAAACTTTTATTGAAATATATATTCATAAGGTATACAAAGTATGTATATATCCCAGTTACTTTTTATAATGTAAGCCTATCTATGTAACCCTACCCAAACTGAGGTATAGAATATTATGATCCCCTCTCAGACTCGATACTCCACCTGCCCCTACTCCTGGAAACTGTGATTCTGACTTGTCACCAAAGATTAATATTGCCTTTTTTTCCTTTTTTTTTAATGGTTGCCTCTCAAGTGCCCCCTACTGGGGACCTGGCCTGCAACCCAGGCATGTACTCTGACTGGGAATCGAACCAGTAGCCCTTTGGTTCTCAGTCCGGCTCTCAATCCACTGAGCCAAACCAGCCAGGGCTATTAGTGCCTTTTTATGATTAAATATTAATATGAATAGGATTAGTCCTTTTGTCTTTTAGTTACTGTTGAAGATGAATTTGAAAAATAAATAGTACCATTTACCCTTTCGTGAAGAAATATATTCTTACCCTGGCTGGTGTGGCTCAGTGTACTGAGTGCTGGCCTGAGAACTGAAAGGTCACTGGTTCAATTCCCAGTCAGGGCACGTGCCTGGGTTGTGGGCCAGGTCTCTAGTTGGGGGCATGCAAGAGGCAACCAATCAATGTATCTCTCACACATTGATGTTTTCCTACCTCTCTCCCTCCCTTCCCCTCTCTCTAACAGTACATAAATAAAATCTTTTAAAAAAGTAATATATTCTCTATGCCAGGGGTGTCAAACTAATTTGCATTGGGGGCCACAGCAGCCTCATGGTTGCCTTCAAAGGGCTGAAATAATTTTAGGACTATATAAATGTAACTACTCCTTAACTGTTAAGGCGTTGAAATTACATTCGGCCCTTTGAAGGCAACTGCAAGGCTGATGTGACCCCCAGTAAAAATGAGTTTGACATCCTGTGTCTCTGCCATTTCCCAAAAGCAGATTTGATAATTTTGTCTATATGTAAGTACCTAAAATGGCCATTTCATTCTGCATCTGTTTATATATATCAGCCATGTTATTGGGGTTTCAAGTCTCCAGAATTAATCCAAGCCCCTAATAACTTAAAGAATAGCTGCGCTAATTATATGGGTTCTATTTTAGTTAAAAAATTGTTTTATGCTTTCCTCATTATGACCTCATCCTTCCAATTAATTAGAAAATTAACAGCTATATTCATAAATGTAAAATAGGTCTTTGTGTGTATGCATAGTAATTTCTACTGTTGATAATCTTAAATAAATTAAAATAGCACTTTAATGCTAGTAGATATTTGGCTTCTGAAAGGTGATGTGTACTTCTAATTTAAAATACTACTCAGAGACTAACTTTCCTTTGTTTAAACCAGTATCATGCAGTTGAAACTGTTTTGATGTTAACTGTTTTAACTGCCTGTGAGACCAAAATCATTTTATATACCTCCACAGTTTTTGTTTTCTAATAAGGAAAAAGAAAGAAGTGAGATAATTTTATAGTTGTGTCTGAGTCAGCGTGAATATAAATCCATTTGCATGTAAACAGTGGCTTGGGTTTCCTAATTCTGACCCAAAAGGAATGTTTCAATATATGATAGGGATCTTCAACCTCAATAGTAATCAAAGATATAAATTAAAATAGGTATGAGATGCCATATTTAAAATATCTAATTTACAAGTACTAAAAAGGGTAATACCTATTGTTGATGAAGGTGCCAAAAAATTGGTAGACTCTCAGTTCCTGAGAGTAGTATCATTTGAGACAAACTTCCTAGGGGGTAGTTTGGCAACACACAGAAAATAATCCTTAAAAGTTAGTATACCTACCAGTTCCATGTTTAGGATTTGTCCTGTGAAAGGGATCGTGGATGTATGCAAAGATTTCAGGTGTTTGTCACAGTATTAATTATCATAGTAAAAAGCAACAGCCGTCTAAATATAGGAGATTGGTTAAATACTACACTTGATCTTAGCCAAAAGGACGAGAAGCGATGGAGATTGGTTAAATAAATCATGGTATATTCATACTACAAACTTCTATATAGTCATTTAAAAACATATTGTGAAGTTTTTTGTTGCAACATTGTTCATAATAAAAGAAGGGAAACAACTGAAATGTTATCATTAGGGAATTGCTAAAAAAGAAAAACCTAAGGTCCATCCATAGACTTGAAGATCTTTACTGATATAAAATGACCTCATAAGATCTAATGTCTAGTGGAAAGAAAACTAAGCACAGACCATTGTGTATATGCTACTCTTTGGGTGGAATAAAAGGAGCAGATAGAGGTATATACACAGTATCTATGGAAGGATACGCAAGAAACTGCTAACATGGGCTGCCTCCAGAGAGGGGGAGAGGAGAGAGATGAAGAATGTGTATTCTTTCATGTGAATATATACGTATTCCAAAAATATTTAAAATGGTGGAATGATGCTGTACATAATGTTTTTGATTAGTAAGTAAAAAGTGCAGGATACAAAACTTAAGTATATAATATGAGCCAGAAAATATTATATGTGATATTCAAAAAGGGGCTGGGAGGGCATATCCCCAGAGGCCAGCAACAGTAAGATTTTGGATGATTTAGATAGCCTTTTTTTAAAAGTGTTTTGGACTGAACTGTGTTTGCTAGGTATTATTAAAAAAAATAAGATTTGTAAGACACATTAAATTTGATGTTGTAACGTTCTTTCCAATCCTAACTTTATTTCCTAAGAATTTATTGAAGTTGGACCCAGCTGAAAGATATTTGACAGAACAGTGTTTGAATCACCCTGCATTTCAAACCCAGAGACTTTTGGATCGTTCCCCTTCAAGGTCAGCAAAAAGAAAACCTTACCATGTGGAAAGCAGCACTTTGTCTAACAGGTAAATATTTCCTTTTAAGGAAATGCAGATGCAGTGTTGGTCTTACAAGTAGGTGGAGGTGGTGGGTGCTTAAATGATGCAATTAGAGATAAGAAGGAAAGCCCTCTTTATTCAAAAATATCTTCGTTATGCTTATTATGTGATTCAGAACCACAATTTAAGAGTTGTGTGGGTCTTACAGACTTTCTCATCTTTAACAACTATATTATGGAAACCTATGCATTCCCTGGGAATGGTAGCATGGGTTAACAACAAAGAGGGGTTCTAGCCTCATGAGCCAGAAGATTCTGTGTAAATGGGACCCAGAGGTTATATATACCTAGGGAAGAAGGGCAAGTTAGAGCAAGGAGATTTCTGGAGGGAGAAGAGGAAACCAAACCCATGTGGGTGGGAAGGTACCTAGGACAGTCTTTGCAACTGAACCAAGTAGGTCTGGGTCTATAGAAGGATCTTGTGTTTTTGTTGCTCTTACATTTTAAGTAATATTTGACAGGTTTTTTTTTTTTCATAAGAATATGGGAATAGTAAAGTCAGTTTGGAAGACAGTGATTTAAAAATTTTTAAATAGAATTTTCAGCATAATCTTTTTAAAAAATCCCTCTATTTCTGGGGATGGGGAGACTCACAAGGGATTGGACCATGCAATCACCTTCTCTCTCCAGAACTGCCATTCCGTGGTTTCGTTAGTTGCATTTACAGGAGAGCAGAATGATTGTCACAGGCCCCCTGTCTTCCTTCCTCTCCCAAGAAGCTGATCTTGTCGTCTGGTGTTGCTTAGTCTGTGGGAGATAGGAAATAGTTTCTCTCATGTACTATTAAAAGAGAAATAGAAAAAATAATTCTTAATATGAAGCTTTTTAAGTATAAGTTTTCTCTTATTTTCCCCCAATTTTCTCTCCATGTAGAATAACTATTCTTAATGTAATGGAATTTTGAAAGCTCAAGATCTAGCACTTTTTAGATCTGTGAGTGCATCCATATATTGAAAAATGGGGACACCGATAATTAAACAACAATAAAAAAAGAAGGGTTTATATGCGTATATTACATTCTCTTCAGTGGTTGTCCATTTAACACAGTTTCCTTACAATTATGTATCAAAGAGATGGAATTTTCAAAGCAGTTTTTTTATTGCTGTGCTTGACAGGGCTCCAATTTGAAGACAATTTGATGCCCTCTCCATGTAGAAATTATGTACAAAGCCCAGTGCCTTCAGGTTAATAGCAAGGCAGAACCTTTCAGGATAGCAGTTTAGAATTGTAATACATTTGTGGAAAACCTAACTCTGACAAATGCTTCTACCTTAACTAACTTTATAGTGTCCCTTTTCTCATTAGAAAGTGTATCCTACATTGATTGTTATGAGTATGTCCTTGACATGTAGGTTTGTTTGTGCTCCTCATTGAGAGCAGTGTTTCTAAGTGTTTCAAAAACTCTAGCAGCTGCCCTCACTTTTCTCTATCCTTTTTTGGCTGGAGCTTCAGACATTTCACAATATTTGCATGTGTTATTTCTACTATTACTCTTTCTGGGCCTGGAGGAGAAAGGGGAGGAAATAGGGTTATGAGAGCCCAGGGGAACCAGGCAGAAGGAGCCACCCCGTGGGAGCTGTAATCCAGAGGGACACAGCTATGGTCCGAGTCAGGGTGCTGATGCTAGGAAGGAACAGGGAAGACAGCCCCCCACCCTTTGCACTGCTAAGCCCAACTGGGAGTTAGATGGCAAGGGAGCCTGGGTGTCACAGTCTACAGGCTCCTGAGGTCCAGGCCAGGGCAGAGAGGAGTGGTGAATGGCTTGGGGGTTGGGCAAGTAGAGAATAACCAACACACTTAATCATATGTACTTATGGGTGAGACTATTTGTCTGTCATCATTTGGGGTTTTGGAAAGTTGGGAACATATTCTAGTTACCAAGATAAAAATTGACAAACGACTCTGGAGACTGTCTGTTATTGACTGGGAATAGACTCTGTTGACATCATTTAACAGAAAGCGAAACTTGCCTTTCTTTGGAATTTCTTTCTAGCTCTGGGATCTGCCATTTAGTTAGCTTTTATCTGAGTGACCTTATTTACTGCTGAAATTCTTGTAACCCAACTGCGAGAGAATAGTGAGTGCATTTGGAAGATGGGGCCTTCCACACTAGTGCAGGCTTGCTAGACATCAGATATACTTGGTAACACTCTGAACAGTAGGAGGAGAGGGAAAGGGCCCTGACCTTTGATGCCTGAGCAAGTGGGTTCTTAGAGAAAGTGGGAAGGCATGGTTTCACAGATTACCATTCTACAGGGAAAAAAGTGTGACTTCTTCCAATTAGTGTGTGATGGAAACAGAACTCTTCCCAAATCAAACCGTCTTTAGCAGTAACATTATTTGCAGTAAAATTTCCTGAATGCATAGTAAAAGGGAATTATTTATTACTTAAAAATGTTCTTATCTATCTGTAGCTACAGTTTGATCCTTTAATTACAATAGAACAAAATGATCTTGCTGTGATATCATTTTCAGCTTTCATATATAGGACAAGATTTTCCTCCAGATGTATAATTTATATTTTGAAACAAGTAGGAAGTGAAGCTTTAAATCCTAAAGAAGGCCTCAGTCAGTTTGGAATAATGACATGTGAAATGAAGAAGAGAAAAAAATGTGTCTTTTGGAGAGGAATGAACTCTTTACATCTTTGTGGTCCAGTTAGAGACAGATTCTTACTGCGTGTACAAGGAAGTGTCTGAAATACCCCAGCAATTGCCGCTTCTCTAAAACATAAATATTGATCATCGTGTTTTCCAACAAATGTCACCAGGCAGCTTACATTTCTTTTTAGAGTGTCATTTTTCTTTTATTGAGTACATTGTGAGAATTCTCATTCTTTGATGATACAGGCTAAAGACAAAAGAGACACTGGTGTCTGTATGTGTATGCTGTCAGTGTATACCTCTGAGGCAGGCTCTTGAGTTTGGCAAATAAAAACATAGCTCAAGAAACCCAGTGACCTTCAAGTGTAAATGTTGCCTTCTGACATTCAGGCAGACAAAAGATAAAGAGTTTTTCTGTAGCTCACCTCTCACCTTCTTACTGGGCGTTCTGTAACCAACACTCATATGAGCAGCAACGTGGCAAAAGTATGCTTCCCCAGATTATCAGTTAGAAACTGTATAGGCAGCAAGTTTGCTGAGCTCTTAAGGATGCCCAAATCATTTCATCAGGACCAGTGCTTTGTTGCAGAGTGACTTGATCTAAGGCACTTACTGCTATTGGTTAGTTGTTATTTGTTGACCCTAGTTTGAGAGATTTAATATTTTTAGTCTTTGAAGTGATTTAGGTATTTCTTCTTCTTTTTTTTTTTAATAAAACTTTGTGTGTGTTTGCTATTAAGGAAAACTGATGTACATTTTTTGGTTTGTTTTTAACATAGAAGCCAAGCCAGCAAAAGTGCCGCTTTGCAGTCTCACCACAGGTCGAACAGCAAGGACATCCAGAACCTAAGTGTGGGTCTGCCCCGGGCTGACGAACCTCTCCCTGCCAATGAAAGCTTCCTAAATGGAAACCTTGCTGGAGCTACTCTTAGTCCCATGCACACCAAAACCTACCAAGCAAGCAGCCAGCCTGGGTCCACGAGCAAAGATCTTACCAACAACAATATACCACACCTTCTCAGCCCAAAAGAAGCCAAGTCAAAGTCAGAGTTTGATTTCAATATTGACCCAAAGCCTTCAGAAGGCCCAGGCACCAAGTACCTCAAGTCGAGCACCAGATCACAGCAGAACCGGCACTCATTTATGGAAAGCTCTCAGAGCAAAGCTGGGACACTGCAGCCCAGTGAAAAGCAGAGTCGGCACAGCTACATTGACACCATTCCCCAGTCCTCTCGGAGTCCATCCTACCGGACCAAGGCCAAAAGCCACGGGGCATTGAGTGACTCCAAATCTGTAAGCAACCTTTCCGAAGCCAGAGCCCCAATTACAGAGTCCAGTACCAGTAGGTACTTCCCATCCAGCTGCTTGGACTTGAACTCTCCCACCAGCCCAACCCCGACCAGGCACAGTGACACGAGAACTTTGCTCAGCCCCTCGGGGAGAAATAACCGAAGTGAGGGCACTCTCGACTCACGCAGAACCACAGCCAGACATTCAAAAACCATGGACGAGTTGAAGCTGCCAGAGCACGTGGACAGCAGCCATTCTCATTCTCTGTCTGCCCCTCATGAATCCTTTTCTTATGGGCTGGGCTACACTAGCCCCTTCTCCTCCCAGCAGCGTCCACACAGGCATTCCATGTATGTGACCCGGGACAAAGTGAGAGCCAAAGGCTTGGACGGAAGCTTGAGCGTAGGACAAGGGATGGCAGCCAGAGCCAACAGCCTGCAGCTCTTATCACCTCAGGTACAGCTAAGAGCCTTAACCAGATGTGTTGGCTCACCATGGGGAGATGGTGGAGGGGTGAATAGGGTCAGTCTGCAATTTTCCCTACTATAGGAGGCTGTATTTTCTTGATAGGATGCATTTAGGGACACAGTACTTGAAGGACCAATCTGTTAAAAAATTTTATGTAAGCCAATTATTGAGTACTCAGACCTCAAAAAGCTTTTTAGAAATCTGTTTTATCAGATGTTCCTTTTTGGCATATTTTGTTGAGAGCATCCTATTTTCTTTTATTGTAGAGTTCTTTGACTATATGTGTGTGTGTTTTTCATTTTCTTAAAATTTAGTGTCAGTTTATGGGGATTTTTCTCTAATCACTCCAGACCACTTTTGCTTAAATCATACCCTTTGCTAAGACCTTAGTCAATATCTTAACCAAATTGAAGAGTTTTAAATTTATCTAGAACTATGGAGAAATTTAACATTGGGCCAGGACAAATGTTAATATTTAGTCTTGGATTGTTTTTAAATCTCAAGGCAATGTTTTTTGCATAATATTTCCTCCATCTTAATTGATCTTCAGACTCTAGAACTGACACATCTGTTTATCTTTTTTTAATCCTCACCTAGGATATTTTATATTATTGATTTGAGAGAGAGAAGAAGAGAGACAGAAGGAGAGAAACATCAATGTGAGAGAGAAATATTGATCAGTCTCCTCTCATGTGCACCCCAACCAGGGATGAACCCACAACCTAGGCATGTGTCCTGACCGAGGGATCAAACCTGCAACCTTTTGGTGCATGGGACAACGCTCCAACCACCTGAGCCACCCAGCCAGGGCCTGACACTGATCTGTTTAAAAGCAGCAGCATTCTTGCAACAAAACACTTTTTTTTTAAATTTTATTTATTCATTTTTAGAGAGGGGAGGGAGGGAGAGGGAGAGAGAGAGAGAGAAACATCAATGTGCGGTTGCTGGGGGTCATGGCCTGCAACCCAGGCATGTACCCTGACTGGGAATCGAACCTGCGACACTTTGGTGTGCAGCCCGCGTTCAATCCACTGAGCTATGCCAGCCAGGGAAAACATTTTTTTTTAAGAATTACATTTTTGTGATATTAAACACTCACCTGCATCAAAGAAATGAAGGTGGAGAAAAGTCAATGTGAGAAGGAGAAGAGTTTCATGTAGGGAAAGTCCTCCCCTTTTAGAGGTTATGAAAATAAGTTCATCTACTTGTATAAGAACTTAGAAAGTATGGATGGAAAATGCCATGGGAGGCTTAGCAAGATACGTGCTGGGTAGAGGGGATTGGCAGTGACGAGCAGTGCAGTAGGTATAGCAAAGTAGCTAAGAGCTCAGCCAGGAAGCCAGGCAGACCTGGGTTTGTATCCCAGTTCCGCTCTGTGCTTCTCACTGTGTGAATGTGGAAGAGTGATACAAGCTCTCTGTGCCTCAGATTCCTCATCTAAGTGTTGTTGTTAGGATTAAAGACAGTGTATAAAGCACTGTGCCCAGTGCTCGGCACAGAGTAAGCGCCAAACAAATTTTAGTTGCTGTTACTGCTTCTGTGGTGAGGGCTGTTCTTTGGACATGGAATACCTCTATGCTGGGTATTCTGAGGTTCTTGCCTTTGAGAAACTTATCTTCTCTCAAGGAAGATTAAATTATACATGATAACAATGAATTAATTAGGAACCACATTCCTGTGGCACTCAGTATAAATAGAACTTGAGAACAGGGAAGAGAGCATTGTGAGCAGGAGCAGTCAGAAATGACTTTAGGGGCAACTAAAGGTCTGGCTGTGAGCTAGGATGTAGAGAGAGGTTTTGGAAGGCTAAAGAATGAAGACGTGTTCAGTCATGTACTGAATTAGGCACCATGATAGGCTCTAATTAGAAAGATGAAAAAGATGTGCTTCCTGCCCCCTTGGAGTGTGTGGGCTGGGGTGAAGGTCGCACACTTGCCAATGTATAGCTCATTATAATACTGTTTGGCTGCATGCCTGTGCTGTCTAGAGGTGTGCGTGCCTTAGGGACAAAGGGGTGGCACAGTTGGGCAGTGGCTTGTGGAAGGCTCCCAGGGGAGGTGGTATCTGAGCAGAGACTCCTAGGACTTAACTATGGAAAGAAAATGGAGTCAACACCAGAAAAGAGGTTTGGTGGAAGGGCAGAAAAGAACATTGCAAGGAGGAGGAGGGTAAAAAAAAAAAAAAACATTAAATAGCATGGTATGCCACAGGGATTACAACTTGTTCCACCTTGCTGGAATGGAAATGCAGGATTTGGAGTGGTTTTTGTAATAATCCAAGGATGAGGTGAGGAGAGAATGTTCTGGACTGTCAGTGCCAGTGGGAAAGCAGGGGAAGAGTGGGTTTTAAAGGTCCCTCAGCAGTGGAAAGAACAGGGCTTGTGAATTGAAGGACTGAATATAGGAAAAAGAAAGCCTTCAAGGTCGCTTTTCTAGGAGCTCTTTTTCAGAGTACAAAAGAGGACTTTTGAAGACACTGAATTTAACAGATGAGCACACTGAGGCTCCAAGAAGTCGGCTGAGTTTCCCAAGTTTACCCAACTAGATCATGAGGCAATGTCCAGGTCCCCAGCCAGCACTCATTGTACTATATCATGCTGACATGTTGAACTTGAAGTGACCCTGAGCCTTTAAGCAGAGGTGTTCTCCACGAGGTTGGAAAGACTGTCTGGCGCCCAGGTGAGGGGAGGGGCAGGAGAAGCCATGACTGGAGTCAGAGCAGTGGTTAGAGGAGCCCCAAAGGAGTCCTTCTAGAGAGGAGAGAACCTCTAGTGCTTACAGAGATCTCTAGAGCCTGGCAGGGGCACATAGACAATAAGGTCAATCCCAGGTAAAGTATGCCAGCACTAAGTGAAGTGTAAACAGAGAAGTAGGACAAACAAAAAGCTTTAACTTAGAAAAAAGGACAAGTGGACTGGCGCTTTGAGAGTTCCAGAAAAAAGACTTTTGTGAACATGGTAGAAATAGACTAATTATAAAGTTACTGTGGGTTAAGCACAGACCCATACTGTTACAGGATGTTAAGTCCAGTTTAGGATGTCCAGTGCCAAGCTGCAAGACAGTACAAGTTTAAAGGCACAGAGGCGGCAGACTGCTTGACAAGTAACTAAAGCCTCATGTGAATAAGTGAGGGGAATCACTTTCTTGCAAAGCATTGTGGCTACCTTCAGGAGTTAAGGAGACTGGACTGGCACTATCATTTGAGAGTTTAGGTGAGATGTAAAGCATTTGTTTTCTAAACTACTTTTTTAGAAGCCTTTGTAAACAATACAGGTGATAAAATTCATCTGAGATCTTGTCATAGAGTAGAAAGAAGAAAGGCTACATTGGATGATTTCCTGCCTAGAATCCTTTCATAGTACATTGGGGACTGATGGGGAGAAAGACAAAGAGACTCAGGTTTGAAATTTTAAATAAAATGTTTTTGTAACATCACATAAGGCTCAAGATAATATGCAATGCAGCTGACTCCTCTTATTGGCTTGGTAATTTTGTCCCTTAATCTTTTTTTTTTTCCTAAGGGTAGAAAATGCTGCCTTTTCCCTCATTGAACACCATTGTGGACCCACGCTGCTCTTAGCTTGTGAATCATTTCCTTGACAGAAATAAGTAGTGTCTCCCGAGATGAGCAGTGTCATAATAATGGTTAAGAAAATGCATGAGCCCTAGCTGGTGTGGCTCAGTGGATTGAGCAGTGGCCTGGGAACCAAAGGGTCGTTGGCTTGATTCCCAGTCAGGGAACATGCCTGGGTTGTGGGCCAGGTCCCCAGGAGGGGGCACATAAGAGGCAACCACCCATTGATGTTTCTGTCCCTCTCTTTCTCCCTTCCCCTCTGTCTAAAAAGAAATAAATAAAATCTTTTAGAAGAAAAGAAAATATATGAAATATAAGTACTGTTATCCTACAGAAGATGCAGAAGTAAACTTAAGTGCATAAACTATAGTAGTTAGAGAAGTTTTAAGACAGAATTTATTAAGACTAGTTATTCTATTCCTCTATATAGCCAAAGAACTTTAGTTTTCATCCGAATATGCCATATAATCCTTCATGAAAAATAGTTTTGGATCTGCTCAGTTCTTTTTGGAGAACTCAGCCTAAAATCTTCTAGATAAATTTTAGATTAACTAATAGAATCTGTAATTAGAGTGCTGCACAGAACCATGACTATCTAGATATTAGGAAGATCATTTTTTTGTTTTTAATAATTAATTGAACTATTTTCAGAGTAATTCATTCCCTGATCGCCTTAACTTTAATGAGAATTTCACTTTCCATCTGTGTGACACTTGTTTGATTTATTTTACATTCATCAGATGACTCAGTCTTTTATGGGACAATTTTTGTTTTAACCCACTAACATTTTCTCTTTTAGTCGGTTAAGGTACTGGTTATACCAATAAAGCCCATGGCAATTTAGGTGATTTTCATCATTTATAAGGACACTCTTATAAATCCTTTTATATTTGACTTCCAGCCTGGGGAACAGCATCCTCCAGAGATGACTGTGGCAAGATCTTCTGTTAAAGAACCCTCCAGAGAAGGCAACCCTTCATTCCATGCGCGGCAGAAATCTGAGGTCTGCATTATCCAGAGTTGCTACCTTATATGATACAACCTTTCTGTAAAGATTGGTCATTTGACATCATTACAGCGTATCTTTCATTTTTTTTATTTTGCTTTTTTTATTACTTTTTTTTATTGTTCAAGTACAGTTGTCTCCATTTCCTCCCAACTCCTGCCCACCCTAGCCTATCTTTTAAAATTTATCCATACCTAATCTCCCACAAATAATTTGAACTGGCTTATAAAGTAGTTTCCTTCATACCATAATTCTGAGTTTTCTCTTTAAAAAATCCTGGAGTAAATTATAGATCAATGAGGTGCTATTCTAAGTTCACAGGCCATTTACTTTTATATAAACCTGTTTCCTCTCAGGGTGGAGCATATCATGATCCCCACTCTGATGATGGCACTGCCCCCAAAGAAAATAGACATCTGTACAATGATCCCGTTCCGAGGAGAGTTGGCAGCTTCTACCGAGGTAAGCCTGGCCGCTGACACCCAACAGGGTCCTCTCTCCTCTGCCCCTCACTGCACCTCCTGTCCACACCCCTCACTACATTTCACTGCCCTGGCTTCAGGTCCATGTAATTCACCTACTGTCATCTTCCAACGCTTCTCCCAGCTTCTAGTCTTGTTTCAAGTCCTCTAGGCTTCTGACTTAGGTTCTTTGAGTATTCTTCCTGTTTTCAAGGTCATCAAAATAGTGTATGGAATGACCTTTCTGAAGCCATATTCTGACCATACCACTCATTGATTCAATTAAGTGATAAAATACTTATCGATGTCACCTGTGGATCTAAGACTGTTCTAGTTTAGATCATGGCAGTGAACATGACAGTTGAAGCTTATCACCCTCACAGAGCTCACATCCTCATGGAAAGAGAGCACTATTAAATGTAATAATTATCTTGAGAAATAAAATGGAATAAATGCTATAGGAAAAAAAATAGAACAAGGCAACTCATTGCCCACCACCCCCACCTACAGTTCTCTATCTCTCACCTGCTGGGAGTCCTCTGGCAGCTTCCCGTTAGCATCAGGACAAAATCTGAATTCCCTAGGACAGCATTCCAGGCTTTCCATTCCTGAGCCCTGCCATCCTTTTTGGCTGTTCCTCTTCTCTCGTGCCCAGCCTGTGGGACTCACAGGGGCCACCCCCTCCTGTAGCCTAAAACTCACTCTTTTCCCTGCTTGCATAGCTTGGCCCTGTCCCTTTTAAGATTCTACTCTGGGGTCTTCTGCAGTGTGATGTCTTCCCTGCCCACCCAGATGAATCGCAGTGTTTCCTCCCCTGTCCCACCCATGGTTCCTTGTTTAGACCTCTAACATGACACAGGCCACATGGTGCTGATTCTTTGCCTGCATTTCTCTCTCACAAGCTTGTGAGGCCCTTTATCTTTTCCTCTTTCACCCTCATTGACTAGCATACTGCCTGACAGTTTCATTAATATTTATTGATTGAATAAAAGAAAATCTTAAAGTGTACTTGCACAGCCTTAAAAATGTACTTCTCTGTTTAATAGACAACCAAAACAGATGCTTTGGGGGATGTATCAGTTTAGGAGATGTTGACAGAGAAAGGCATCCCCTTTGATGAGCTGTGTAGAAACAGAGTGGGAGCCCCTGGGGAGCCCCAGCCTATAGTAAGGAGACAGACAGCAAGCCCACCAGGGTGGGGCAAGGTCCTGGGTCTGGGAGGCTCAACTTTTCACAGTCTTCAAGGGTCACCACGACCTTCTACCAATGCCCATATTCACATTGTCTGGCTTCTCACTATTGTGTTAATTTGGGAGGACAGCTGGCAAGGGGCAGGGATGGGGGCGGGAGGTCATGGACAGCTGCTCAGTCATTTTAACCAGGAACTGGAGCTAAATAAATATATCCAAGTGTTATTAAGGACTAAATGTATGTTGAATGACCAGGCTACTCTGTTCCCTCCCAGTTCCACCTTTGAAAAAAGCATAAATGCCATTTAGTGTATTTTTTTTCTCATGCCGTGGTTACTTTAGAATCTTATGAGACTAAAATTTTAATTCAGATTACAGTTACTTAAAACGAGTCTTGTAGTATACATGAGCAAAAGCCTTTTCTTCTATCACTGTAAGTTTTATTTCTGAAATGAACCATACATGTGCTATTTCTATAGATGTCTGTGGAATATAATATAAAATGTTAACAAAATTCTAATCAGTCTGAAAGCAGTTTTATTTTGATTTCAAATAAATTAAATCAGTTAATATCAGCAAAACCCCTCATTTGTCTTCCTTATAATCCACTTCAGAGTTTGGCAGGCAGAACATTTTTATTTTAGAAAGTCTAGAAATAGAAAACATTTAACTAGGTGAACATCTGGAGACAGCTGCCATTTCAATGATGCTACTAAATCTTAACTGGATGAAGATTTAGTGGTATCACTGAAATGATAAATGTTTCCAGAATACTTCCCGTTTTCAGTCCTATTGGTCAAGAGTCAAGTGAAATGATATCATTTATCTTTATATACAGCCTGTATATTCCTTTTGTGATGAAATTTGCAATACGTTTTGATTTATGACCAAGCTTAGGAATTGACAGAAAAAATAGTAACCCCCACCTAAAAAGCAGAAAAATATTTACTGAAATAAATTGTGGTTTATCTTTCTGTTTATTCCTGGGTTTAGAACATAGAGAAGAAATTGTATTCTTGTGTAAGTAACCAAATTTCTTTGGAATTTAGTTTAAAATATATATAATTGATGCTACCTCCCAAGTGTCAAGGCTTAAACGGTAGTTTGTATATTCTAGCACACATACAAGGCCTGTCCAGAAAGTAACCAGCCATGTGCTCTGAAAAATAGAGACATTTATTGAAGAAGATACAAGAAACATTGTACATAGGACAATGACGCCTCAGTCCCCTTTAAAGTATAGGCACCTTGAAACCTTACACAGTTCTCCCAGTCGCCATCAGCTACCCTGTCATATTTTGCTGAATCTCATCAATGGTCTGAAATCTCGCCCCTTTCAAAGGTGATTTTAGTTTTGGGAAAAGCCAGAAGTCAGAGGGGGCCAAATCTGGGCTGTAGTGGGACTGAGTCACTTGGGTGACTTGATGTTTCCCCAAAAAACTCTGCACAAGATGTGATGCATAAGTGGGTGTGTTGTTGTGAAGAAGCTGCCAATCACAGTTGCCCATAACTTCAGCCTTCTGAATCATCCAGATACCGTGGAAGAATGTTCAAGCTTAACATAAAATTTGGTGCAGATTTGTTGCTCTACTCGCTGAAGTCATTTTGAATGTGACGACCACACAGTACACATGCTTACTCAATGGTATCTACTGCCCCTACTGACTAGTACGGTAAAGTTGTCATTGTTCATGCATGTGTATTCCGGTCTAGTCTCCTTGGATGCTAGGTTACATCAGTGTCATGCAAACCGTTCTTGTTATATTAACAATGGCTGGCCTTTTTTCTGGACAGACCTCGTATTGTTAAGAATCACTTCAGACTAAGAATAGATTTTGCATAGTTGGGTCTATGATGTAAAAAAGCCTCAACTCCAAAGAATGTCAAAACAGTGAAGGGAGGCTATCATATTCATACTTTTAAATATCCTACAATGTTTTTCAATTTATCAGCCAATGGGTCCATTTATATTGCCTGGTGATATGATATATATTTCCTGGTGTTAACTTACCCTCCCAAGTTGCTCTTGTAAGCAGTGCCGGTAGGGAGAATGTTCCCTGGAGTGTCTCCACCCTCAGAAAACACAGAAGTTATCTGAAGGGCAGATGAGGATTTTGACTTATCTGTTTATTTGTGTGAGAAAAACTGCAGTAGAATAACTTGAATCCTGCTTTGACCAATAGATTACATCAGTGACTTTCTTTATTTAGTGCCATCTCCACGTCCAGATAATTCTTTCCATGAAAATAATGTGTCAACTAGAGTTTCTTCCCTACCATCAGACAGCAGTTCTGGAACTAACCACTCCAAAAGACAACCAGCATTTGAACCATGGTAAGTATTTTGGTTTGTTTTTACTCTTAATGTTTTCTAACTTGAGATTTGAGATTTCAAAGAAATTCTGGATAAACTTTTGAGCATTCTTCCTCCCGTTAGGCTTTTCTTTCCCAAGAGAGATTGTTTGGTGTGGAAAATGTGATTTGTCATTATTTGTAATGGTTTCTGTCAAGTTTAGAATTTGTATTAAATAATATATAAAAGAAAAAAAGTCTCCCAGATCAGTAAATACCTCATAAGTCTTCCATTGCATTCTTCTGACATGACTGATGTCTTTCACTGTCTCCTCTTTTGTTGCTATTGAATCACCTAGCAGACACTTTGCTTAGCACTTTGTATGCATAGTCTCACACTCAGTTCTCACAGTCAGCCTTTGAAGTAGGAATGGCTCCCATTCTACAGATGAGCAGACGCAGTTTAGAAAAGGTAAGGAGCTTGCCTGGTGCTGGACAGCCAGTAACAGCAACCAGGGTGTAGACCGACATGGGTTCTGACTCCATAGCTCCTATCTTTCACCTCTATGCCACCTGACTTTTGTCAGGGTGAAAAGATAGAAATGGGGGAACAACTCTTTATGCTACCATGAAAGCATAATGGTAGCCAGACATTAAAATGATGTGCCAACTTTGCTTGTCCTTGTATCTTTTTGTGTCATGTGTAATAAAAATTTAGGGAGATAATTATAACTCATGTCAGGGGTCCCCAACCCCCGGGCCACTAGCAAAGTTTGCCTAAGGTCTGCCTTCTTCCCCCCAACCTGAGCTCTGCCCCCTGTCCCCCTCCCTGCCCCAGTCTGTGGAAAAACTGGTCCCTGGTGCCAAAGGTTGGAGACCACTGACATATATGAAGTCTCATTAGATCTATCTAGGAGTAAGAACTTTTAAAAAAATAGTAATGTGGACTTTGTATTCTCGACTGCTCAGAATCCAGATGTGAGGGGTGCTTACGTGTACTTCATAAAACTACCTACCAAGTCCTCCACCAGTAGAATCAATGGTACATCACGATAACACACTGAATTTAGAATGAGACCAGTCTGTCAGAGAGCCCATCTCTGGTGTGTGTTGCCAGAAGTCACAGAGGGCCTTAGGTCAGTTTTCCTAACCCTATGTGGTTTCACAATTTGGACCCTGTTGGCAGGGTTATGTCAAAGATTCATTGTTACTGTGCCCAGTGGTGAAAATAATGTAATTATTTTTAAAACGGTAAGATTTTTAAAGCTATAAATACTTTTTCATTTATAAGCACACTTTACATCCATTGCCTTATTTATAAAATGACAAGTCTTAACATTAGTGACTAAGACAGTAGACTTTGGAAATAAATAGGGTATCTTCATTAATGTCACCTTCTGGCTATGTGACTTTAACCTCTTTGCACCTTGGTTTCCTTATCTGTAAAATGGGGCTAGGAAGAGCACCTCCTTCATAGGGTTAATGTGATCATTAATTGGGATAAACCACCAAAAGTGCCGAGAGTAGAGGTCCCCAACCTCTGGGCCATGCACTGGTACTGGTCTGGGCCTGTTAGCACCCGGACTGCACAGCAGGAGTTCAGCTTGAATGTAATGTGCTTGAGTCATCCCAAAACCATGCTCCCCACCCTGGTCCACGGGAAAATTGTGTTCCACAAAACTGGTCCCTGGTGCCAAAAATGTTGGGGATGGTTGACCCAGAGCAATGACTTGCTAACATCAGCAGTTTTTACCATTTATGTCCTCTAACTTCAATATGGCTTGTCAGGTGTCTCCCTGCCACTTATGTTGCTCGTAAACTTTGGTGCATTCTTTCTTCATGTGACTGTAGATAAGATCTCCTATACATTAACTCCTCTACATAATGCCTCTCTCCTCTCTTCAATTCTCCTTCATGCTGCTTCCAGAACAGTTATCCTAAAGCCCCCAAAGTCTGACCCTCTGTGAAACCTGTGGGTCTCCTGCCTTGTGTCTGTGAGCAGCTTGAAGTCTCCTTGTTTATTTTGCCCTGCAGTTCCAACATCTAACATGGGGCCTGGCACATATAAAGTATTCTGTAAAGGTTGGTTGACTTTGATTCTGTTGGTTTTATTTCCTTCCCTTTTTTAGGTGAGTCTTTTGAATTCTCTCTTTCCTCTTGACTGCTTAGAGAAATAGTTGTTGTGTGAGTCTTGTGACTATTCAGGAAGCAGACTATTACTACTCCCCACCCTGCATCAGCATCCCCCCACCTCCACCATTTTATCAGCCCTAGATAATGTGTCAGATGACACATTAGCTGGATGATCCTTCTTAAATCTTCTGTCCCTGAGATTTATGTGATCACCCCTTGACCTTCGCTTGTGATACTTCTCTTAGATCTGTCTATTGCTGTACAATTAGCTCAGCTCAGCACATAACTATTGACTGAACCAGGTGGAACTACAGGGTCAAGAATTCAAATTTGAGATATATTATGGGGCATACTCTTACCCATTGGGTACAGTATTGGTTGTAAATGTTCAAGTCTCTCTCTTCATTCTTTTGTACAATACACAACTTTTCAGGGGCCTGTGTTCTTGGCAGCTTCTCTCCATCTCTGTCTCTCCCTGAATCTCTCCCCTAGGCTTTTCTCCCTTTAGTTTCTCTGTTAGTTCTCTGTATGTGTATGTTTCAGTGTAGTTTCTCCCTCTCTTTTTTCTTTTTCTGTCTCCTCTCCCACTTGGGCTCTTTCTCTCTCTGTGTGTCTCTGACTTCCTTCTGTGCCTTTTGTGATGCATGCACACTCAAGCTTTACTCCTAGCTTTCATCCTCTAGGTCAGGGATAATTTATTTTCTTTTCTGTTTTGGCCTCGGGGATCTTTCCCTGCCTGGATTGTGGCCCCACCACCTCTGCTCCACTTCAGTTTGAAGATGTTTTCCTCATCATTCCCCCTCTACCCCAGGCCCTAGTTTATCCAGTACCTCTGAAAAGACACTGCGGAAAGTCTTTGATTCATCTTCCCTGTGTTTGGGGTCATCATGAGGAACAAAAGATACTGGGCTTTTGTGCTGCTCCTCTTTCCTTACCCTGTTCCACCCCCCCCCCCCCGTTCTCTCACTTCCATCTTGTTAGATAGACTCTTCTTCCCATCTCACATGCTGCTCCTCCTACGACCAGTGTTTCAAGCCTTCACTTCCTCTCTTGCCAGCGGTAACATTCTTCTAGTAACACCCATTCCCTTCCTGAGGCTGCAGTCACATGTGCCCCTTAAAGATTTCCTGGATTGGCAGAAAGCTCTTTTACTACTGACACTTGACAGACCTTTGAGATTTCATTAGACTTCCATTCTTGTTGGAAAGACGTTCTACCTGTTAATCTGAATACTTTTCTGTACAGACCCCAGTATGGGAGGACATAAGCTATAGCATAAGCAAATAATTCTTTAATCTCTGGAGGTTGCAGAACATTAAAAGTAGCATTGCTAGTTGGACTTGATGCTCTCTGAGGTTCCTTTCAATGCTAAGAGTCCTGCTTTTGTGATTTCAGCCAACTACACTGTTCTGCCGGGTTCTCTAGGACCCTCACATGACTGAATGCTATGGCCTGGAATTGAGTTTAGCGCAGTCTGTCTTTAGGCCTCATGCAAGAGGGTTTCATCTCCTTAATCTCAAAAGTGCTTGTCAAAAGAAAGATCAAATTCCCGGGGTCTAGGCCCAGTCTGTCACTGGGATGAGACTATAACACTGCACTTAAAGTATCTTTAACTTTTCAGTTATTTTATTCTCACCCATTACATCACATCGAAGTTTTTCAGCTTTCAAAATTGTAAATGAATTATTCATTGTTCCAATACTCGTTATTTTATTGGTTGTGTTGTATTATAAAACTTTCAATTCAGAACTTGGGACTCAATCAAACTTCAGGTCCTGATGAGTTTCAGGAACACATGGGCCTACAGTACATGCATTTACTTCCTTGGGATCTCCATTACCTTTTATTTTTTTTTAGTGTATTTTATTGATTATGCTATTACAGTTGTCCCATTTCTCCCCTTCACTCCCCTCCCCCATGCACACCCTCTCCCACCCACATTCCCCCCCTTTAGTTCATGTCCATGTGTCCTAAGTTCTTTAGCTTCTACATTTCCCATACTATTCTTGCCCTCCCCCTGTCTATTTTCTCCCTGCCATCTATGCTACTTATTCTCTGTACCTTTTCCCCCTCTCTCCTCCTCCCACTCCCCTGTTGCTAACCCTCCATGTGATCCCCATTTCTGTGGTTCTGTTCCTGTTCTAGTTGTTTACTTAGTTTGTTTTTGTTTTAGGTGTGGTTATTAATAACTGTGAGTTTGCCATCTTTTTACTATTCATATTTTTTATCTTCTTTTTCTTAGATAAGTCCCTTTAACATTTCAGATAATAAGGGCTTGGTGATGATGAACTCTGTTAACTTGACCTTATCTGGGAAGCACTTTATCTGCCCTTCCATTCTAAATGAAAGCTTTGCTGGATAGAGCAATCTGGGATGTAGATCCTTGCCTTTCATGACTTGGAATACTTCTTTCCAGCCCCTTCTTGCCTGTAAGGTCTCTTTTGAGAAATCAGTTGACAGTCTGATGGGAACTCCTTTGTAGGCGACTGTCCCCTTACCTCTTGCTGCTTCTAGAATTCTCTCCCTCATTTTAATCTTGGGTAATGTAATTATGATGTGCCTTGGTGTGTTCCTCCTTGGGTCCAACTTCTTTGGGACTCTGAGCTTCCTGGACTTCCTGGAAGTCTATTTCCTTTGCCATATTGGGGAAGTTCTGTTTTATTATTTGTTCAAATAACCTTTCCACTTGTTGCTCTTTCTCTTCTCCTTCTGGTACCCCTATAATTCGGATGTTGGAATGTTTAAAGATGTCCTGGAGGTTCATAAGCCTCTCCTCATTTTTTGAATTCTTATTTCTTCATTCTTTTCTGATTGTATGTTTTTTTCTTCCTTCTGGTCCACTCCATTGATTTGAGACCCAGCTTTCTTTCCAACACTATTGGTTCCCTGTGCATTTTTCTTCATTTCACTTGGTGTAGCCTTCATTTTTTCATCTAATTTGTGACCAAAATCAACCAGTTCTGTGAGCATCCTGATCACCAGTGCTTTGAACTATGCATCTGATAGGTTGGCTATCTCTTGGTCGCTTAAAAGTATTGGCTGTGGGGCTTTGATTTGTTCTTCCATTTGAGCATGTGGGTTTTTTGTTTTGTTTTGTTTTGTTTTTTGGACTGGTCGCACCTGTTATGTAATGAGGGGCGGAGCCTTAGGTGTTCACCGGGGCAGGGCAACCGCGTCACTGGGTTGTGATGCTGTATGTGGGGGTGGGGCCAGAGGGAACAATGGAGCTTGCTCCACTCTCTGTCGGATATCGGTCCCCTCTGCCACTTTCCACAAGCAGATCAGGCTTGGTGCTAGTTCTGGTGCTAGTTCTAAGGTGGGTGGGCTTGTGTACGTTCTAGGACCCTGTGGGTCTCTCCAACGAACTCTCCTGTGAGGCTGGGAGTCTCTTCGGCACCTCAATTTCCACAAGTATTTTCAATTGGTGCTTTAGGCTTTATTTCCCAGCACTGGGGCCCTGGGTTGTGCAGTCTGTCTGGCTGCCCGTTTTCACCTGGTTTATCTGTGCTCGAATGTGTGACTGCGGATAGCCAGCTGCCTTGCGCGCCTCACTGGGTCTGCTCGTTGCCTCCCCACACCCAGGGTCTGCCACTGGGGTCTGCTAGTCGCCGCCTGGGCCCTGCATGGCTGGGTCTGCCAGCCACCGCTTTTTCCTGCCGCAACCCCTCTCTGCCAACCGCCCACTCCGTCCCTCTTACCAGTCTGGATGAATGGTTGTTGGACTTCCATACGGTTGAATTTTCTGTCTGTTCTGGTTGGTTTTTTTTTTTTCTAAATTTTTGTTGTCCTTAATTTTGGTTGTGAAAGGAGGCACAGTGTGTCCACCTGCGCCTCCATCTTGGCCGGAAGTCCTGGGATCTCCATTACCTTTTAGGCTAAACACCTTAGAAGAACTGATCATTGCTTCTTTAAACAGCCATGGTGTTTACTTCCTATTTCTCCCTCCTTCCACCCCCACTTTTGATGTTGAGTTCTTGTTTTTTAAAATAAATTTTTTGTGTAGCTTATAAAACTGTTTTTTATTATATCTGCAGTACATTTTGGTGTTGCAACTAAAAAGAAGAAATGATAAATCACCAAAATAATTTCTCTTGCCCAGAGATGATAGCTGTTGACATTTTGTTTTATTTCTTCCTGCCTTTTAAAAATATATACATGTGCACATGTATCCCTTTTTTTAAAAATATAGTTAGTCTCATATTATATAGAAAGTTTTTTGAATTCTGCTATTTTCACTTAGTATTATAGTTTGGATATTCCTTCATATTAGTGAAAATTCTTTGACAATGTGATCTATTTTTAATAGCTTCATGCTGTTTTCTATCATGCAGATCTGTAATAGTTTATAGAGGTGTTTTCTGCCTTCACACAGATTTAACAAGTAAAGGATGCTGATTTGTTCATGTTTTTTCTTAGATGTTTTAGTAACTTCTTTGCTGTTAGTTGTTCCAAAGCCATAAGTATGAACAAACTTTGTCACCTTTAATGTTTCTACTCTTAATTTTAGGGAATAGTTAGTAGAAGGAATCCAGCAATTTGAGAAAATGGTTTTCCGCAGTCATATAGATATTGAAATTTAAAGTAGAGCCAATGGAATGTGCCTTTTTGAAAAATAGTACCAGTTGGCTTGTTTTTTAAAAACTGTAAATTAAGTTATATAGGTCCTATGTTAACAAACAAGTAACCAACTTGTTGGGGCCAAGGTATCTTGTTTGCTGTCATTTAATATCTTCTATTTGTATTGAAATGCCTGGGTGGTGTCAGTGATATGAAGCTTAATGTCAGTATTTCGAATTAGAGGCTTCCCCCCCCTTCAGAAGAACCCTTTGTATTAAGCATTTTTCCTGGCCATGTTTTTTTCTTACCTTATCTATTTTTATTTAGTTTTAATAAATAGATAAGATTTTTATGAAGGAATTTTTCTAGTTTCATGTAATTCTTACTTCTACTTATAATGTTTCTGTAGCAGCATTGATTTTTTTGTGTGTTTGTTTTTTAATGTTCTATACTTTCGCAGGCCAGTAATAATGAACTTGTCAAGCTGGTTTTAAGAAGGTAAACAGAAAAATTAAGATAAGGAAAATGTTTCTGCTTTTTCCCTTGGAGGGTTGCAGAAAAAGCATCCTTTAGACCATGTACTTTTCAAACTCCTAATTCTAAGGTTTTCAACAACATGGAAATGGTCCTGCAGCAGAGTCACAGATAATTTGTATTAATGCTCAAATTGCTAGTTTGAGTCTGTGCCAAAGGCTAATCATTAACCATGGTCCATTAGATTCAGTTCCTCCTATGCTTTTAGGACACTCCTTACCTGTGTGCTTGAATCTTCATGGCTATTTGAACCCAGTGTCATGCACTTTCCATCTTCATTATATTTGTCATACGATGGTAGGAGAACGATTGAAAAATCAATATGATAAAAATGTCTTCCCATTTAGGAAAAGTCCTGAAAACATTAGTCATTCCGAACAACTCAAGGAAAAAGAAAAACAAGGCTTTTTCAGGTCAATGAAAAAGAAAAAGAAGAAATCTCAAACAGTAAGTAGATGGCTCATTTCTATATTCAGTAGCATACTAGTCTACTTTAGTCTGTGGGTACTTTACATTTTGTATGTTGCAATCATACTGCATTATTTTCTTATTGAGACCTGACATGCATACATTGTATGTGTTTCTTTCCCAAATTCTAAACAGCTATCCTCCTGTTACAGAGCTTTTTCCAAATTCAACAGAATCTCCAGGAATGGAAGAAATTTAATTTAGATGAGAGAGAACACTTTAAGCCTTTCTAAATGTCTTATCCATGAGGATTTGTATTCATGTAAAAACGATGCAGCTACAGGATTTATTTCTTTCTGGGGATTAAAGATATGCAAAAACTCAGTAAATGGTTTTGTTTTCTGTTTGATCTTAAAAGTCGTGTAATTAACCATCATTCATTTTTCTCCCCTGGCCGGGTATCCAATTACCATGTTGACAAGTGTACTTCTGGGCTGCAGTCACAGAGAGGAGATAGTATTTGACATTTCAGGGCTTGCTTTAGTAAGAAGATATGTTTATCTGTGATTGAACTGTGAAATGGAACGAGTCTTAGGGAGCCCTCCGCCTGAACCCAGGGCTGGCTCCATGAAACCGTGCACATCACATCACTGAATCACCCAAGCAAGGATTTTGCTGGTTAGTGACTTGAGAAAACATGGGGAAGACAGGCCTCCAGGCCAGCAGGCACTACTTTACCTACGTGAAGCCTGCTTCCCGCTTTGCTTTATGACATCTTCCACACTAGGTAATGTTGAGTTGGCCATTTTAAATGATTTTGTTTCTAGTTTTGCTTTTTATACATGATTAACTCTCATTTATTTAAAAAGGGATTCTAGGATTATGAATCAATGGTAAGTAAAGATGAGATACGTAGATGATAGTAGCAAAGAATAATACTGAAAGTAAGGATTTTTGTCTCACAGATTACCTTTCTAGATTATTCTTTCACTTGCTTATTGTTAATTTATATGTTTTATTATAAAATAAATATGAGCTCATTACAGAAAACTTGAGAGAAAAAAAATGGATCATTTCTAATCTTACCACCCTGTCACAACTAGTATTAGGATCTTGATATATTTCCTCTTAGCTTTTAGCCTTCGTATAAGTTTATGGGAGGAAGATTTTTTTTTTTTAGTTTGTTTTGGATAATAATAATCATTCTAGTACAATTTAAAATTCTGGCTTTTAACAGTATATCTCTCTATCAATATACACAACATGTATGTTACTCCACAAATTTTATTATCTTCATTTTAATGGCTACATGAAGTGTTTATTTTTTTAAAACTGCCTATTGTCTCTAACAGAAACTCACTTAAAGCAGAATGTGAAATCAAAATACCACTCAATCAAATATTACTACATTTGTTATTTAGACTGGATGAACAAAACAGACCTGAATTAAAGTAGAAAAGCTCAAAATATTTACAGTGCTAATAAAATAATACTTTCATCATTGTCTATGGAACATTTGTCCATCATGAACATTGAACTCATACTACTTCCTTTTAACTACTCTTATTTTTATTTTAATGTTTTTGTTCTTAACCTCAGTTCTATAGCCATTTGTGGGGTATTTAAGTGAAAGAAAGTGGCAGAAACCAAGGGACTGACGGTGTTTCGTGTATAGATTAGGCTTTTGATGTCCATCTGTCTGTCTGTCTTAGACCAACATTAAACTTAAAACCTGAGGCTCTCCATGGCCTAAGTCGAGTATATACATGTTGACTGACACTGTTGCTCAGGACCTGGTTCAAATTTTAGATGTTGAAATAGTATAGGTTAGGGCAAATGGGAAAACTATTATTCTCTAAAATCCTTTCCACTTGAATTTACTTTTTTAAGATTTTCATGCATTTCATTTTTAATATGTAAAGTAACTGCAAAATATCTCTATACGGGCCAATATCTTAAGTCTTCTTCCAAACCAGAAGTGTTTAGTACCTCTGGGTTTTCTAGTTGAAAAAGTGTTTTTAAGGACTTTGATATCTAGAGTAAGAGTTCCAAAGAGTACTTAGTATATCCTGCCAGACCTCAGACTCCTAAGCCTGGCATTTTGTTAACTCTGCCCCCTACAAATAAGTAGAAATTAGAATTAAAATTTACTTTTTTAATTTTTTATAACTCAGCAAAAGGAAACTGGGTAAGCAAGCTTTGAAAGATTGAGAGCTTTGTGGCATTTGCATAAGGTTCAAAAAAGGGGAAATCTAATTCCCAATCCACATAGAAAAGCAGGACATTTTAAAGCCTGGATGGATCCTAAATCTAGTTTGACCCTTTTAATTTCACTGATACAGGAACTGCCCAGGCAAGTTGTGACCTGCCTGAAGTTGCGCTATCAAGTTGAGAGAACTAGAAGTGGGTCCTCTTGACTAGCAGGCCCAGCCTCAGTCCCTGCCACCGGCCCACCTCTGCAGAGAGCCTCTGGCCACTTGCTCCTGGGGTCTTTCTTGTGGCCTCCTTAGTGACACAAGTTAAACTCTTACCTGGGATCCCATCATGGGAACAGGAAACTTTGTGAGCTATTTTACTCAAATGTTCTCATATACACATCCATAAAAGATGATGGAGGCCCTGGCTGGTGTGGCTCAGTGGATTGAGCACTGGCATGGGAACCAAAGGGTCACCAGTTCGATTCCCACTCAGGGCACATGCCTGGGTTGCAGGCCAGGTCCCCAGTAGGGGACACGCAAGAGGCAACCACACATTGATGTTTCTCTCCCTCTCTTTCTCTCTTCCTTCCCCTCTCTCTAAAAATAAATGAGTAAAATTTAAAATAAAGTCGATGGGAATACCTTCACATGCATTCTACTTCTCTGACAATTGAGATATCCACAACAGGGAAAAGAAGTGCCAAAAAATGATTTTGTATTGCAAAGGTGCCTTCTTAGACTCAAGCAAATCTGGAAGCCGCCTTGGGAAATCTGGCTTCAGTTCCACATCCAGAGACTTACATAAGTCCTCAGAGCATATGGTGACTCTGCCAACTTGGTAGTTGTACCCGAGTTAGTATCTATCTCAACTTGTAATCATGCTTTGGTTTAAAGACTGAATTTTGTTTCTTCACTTTGAAAGCCCATATTCTGAATTGCATCAGATATTTTCCATGGGGTGAATATTTCTAACAGCATAAAACCATGCTTCTTTGATGGTAGAATCCTGCAACAGTGATCTTTCCAAGTGATGTGTTCTGGTTCAAAAGTTGACCGCATTCAAAGGGGTCTGCAGTACCTGTTTTTTTTGTTTGTTTGTTTTGTTTTCCCCCCAAATAGGCAGATTGCATGGTAGATTATTTAGTTGCTGAGGTTTTCTCTAGCAGTTAGGAAGAGATTCATCAATAGCTCTTTAAACACAATTCTTTATAATAATTATATTTCTGATAATAACTAAATCCTTAAATGTTTTGTAAGCTTAGTATGAATGATGTGTGCAGGTCTCTGTGCATTCCTTCTGTAGGTGTTGATCATGGCCACATGTTCTCTGTATAGAAGTTTTTTGCATGTCTTCAATTACATTGTTGGCATCTTCATGTCTAAGTGAGAAATGACACAGTACCCTCTCTAGATGCACACACAGCACAGGCATTCTCTTGGTGACTTAATATTTCACAAGTTGAGGGCTTCCGAGGGCTAGAAGTTTCAGTAAGAACACCTTTTTTTTTTCTTTTTCTTTTGCAATTAGTTTATTTGTATCTTATATTGCAGACAGATTCCACCAACGGGGAGAATCCAAGCATCAAGAAATCCCTCTTTCCTCTTTTTAATTCAAAGAATCATTTAAAGCATAGTTCTTCTTTGAAAAAGCTTCCTGTAGTCACTCCACCCATGGTACCCATTTTTACGTATGGTAGCCCTGAAAACTGCTCCAGTAAACTTGTTTTACTGATGACAACAGCATGTCTTTTATTTTCATGGGGTCATATTCTCTTTGTGCTAGTTAAGTACCTGAGCCAGTTCCATAAATTCACTGAGATACAAATTCTTTGCCATTCTGGATTTTCTGAATCAGTTAAGGAGGTTGAAGCATAAAAGGCTATTAGGCAAACAAACTAGCGAAAGGCTGGTTTGGGTTGTCTGATTAGCCAGTTGTCGGCAGACAGCATTCATAAAACCCCTTATTTCTTGTAAAGAACTCAATTAACACAGTTCACAAATATCTTTTTGTTTGGCTCACAAAGTGTGTTAACACTTGGTTGGCAGTTTGTTTCTTTCAAACCAAGTTGCATTGACCAAATTAAGTGAGCTAGCCGGCTCCATGAAAAAACAGCTTCTGTTAGTAGGTGATTTTGCTTTTTTCTTACCTGGCTGTAGCTTTTACCGGTCACTTGGTTTAAAGCCAGGGCTTTTGCGTGACATTTGGCATTAAGCTCCTGTGTTCACTAAAATCGGTGAACAAACCAATTGCATTCATCTGGAATTTGTGGCACGAATTTCCAGCATTTTCATTGTGCATAATGCTAGACCCAGATTCTTTACTGGGCAGTGTCTTGTGATTATGACTCAACCATACTTTTCCACTTTGCTACCCCTGAAAACCTGCTAGACTTCTTTGAATACCAGCAAATGCGGTGTCTGGATCATTTTCCCAGCAGGAACAAATTTTTGTTTTATTGAACTGGTTCATAACCTAACTGCAATGTGGAATGAGGATACGACAGCAATTCCTGGTATAGCCCAATTTAACTGCTCTCTCTTACAGCGATTAAAACTAACAGCATGGGAATGCTTTAAGGGTTGAGGTTTTAACAAAGCTGCATGATCATCTGCCAATTTTTCCTAATGCAGGGAAAATTATTAAGAGGGCAGTAGAATTTAACTAGCATCACTTGCATTGTGAACACTGGAAGAGTCTGGGGTTTTTTTAATTGGGTGTTTTTTCTTGTCTTTTTTTGTTGTTGTTGTTTTGGGGGGTTTTGGGGGGAGGGGGTGGAGTTTTGGTTTGGTTTGATTTGCTTTTGTTCTCCTCTCGGGTGTGGTTCCATATCTTAATTAGGTTTATTGGTGTGCTGATTAAATCCTGATCTATATTCTTCTCTAGGTGCCCAATTCTGAAGGCCCTGATCTTCTGACATTGCAGAAAGCCATTCACTCTGCTAGCACCCCAAGCAGCAGACCAAAGGAGTGGCGTCCTGAGAAGATCTCCGATCTACAGACCCAAGTGAGTGGCACCCACATCAATCCTAGACTCTTATACTGCAGCGATCATTTCTTCTAAGGGGAGGGGGAAGGTTGAGAAATTTGGCCTCTCAGTGTTTACAGCAAGGCTGAGTGTCTCCCCGGGATATACCTTCACTAATAGCCAGGTGCACTTAGGGGTCCAGAGAGATCTTGTGTCAGTGACCCTTGTCCTACTAGGGAAAAAAGTGAGCTTCCATTCGGCTTCAACTAGCTAGGGGTAGGGCTGGGGGTGAGATTAAAGGATAAATAAGAAATGGCCCAGCTCTGGCTGATATGGCTCAGTGGATTGAACGTAAGCCTGCAAACAAAGAGGTTACTGGTTAGATTCGCCGTCAGGGCAAATGCCTGAGTTGCAGGCCAGGACACCCATAGGGGGCACATGAGAGGCAAGCACTTGCACATCAATGTTTCTCTCCCTCTCTTTCTCCCTCCCTTTTCCTCTCTCTGAAAATAAAGAAATAAAATATTTAATATAAATAAAATATATTTTATTTATTTATTTTTAGAGAGGGAAGGGAGGGAGAAAGAGAGAGAAAGAAACATCAATGTGCGGTTGCTGGGGGCCGTGGTCCGCAACCCAGGCATGTGCCCTGACTGGGAATCGCACCTGCGATGCTTTGGTTCGCAGCCCGCGCTCAATCCACTGAGCTACGCCAGCCAGGGCGAAATAAAATATTTTTTTAAAAAGAAAGAATATTTAAATCTTTGAAATCCATAGTATTTTTGATAGAAAATAGGCAAACTGTTGCATTAGGAAATTCATATTAGATAGTATGTATAATCACATTTCTCTGTCATAATGGGGGAAGAAGCAAAAACCATTATCTGTAAATTTTTCAGGTAACTGAGGTTTATCTCCTTTAAACAACAGTTTTTATTGGAAATTTTAAAATATTGTATCTTTTCAGTATCCCATAATGAGCATAGTAACATAATCTAACTTGTTTTTTATCACATTCACTATTTTATAAATCCATTATTCCTCCCTATAATTTCTGACAACCCTCATGAGCTTTTGAGTCTGCAGGGTTACTTGTGGTTTGGAGGAAGTCTGTATTTTTATAGGTTTACTGTTTACTATTTAATTTTAAACTATTACTCAGAGCTGTTGGAAGGAGTTGTCCACATTTTGATTGTATTTGCTCAACCATTTATATTTTCTGCTTCTAACATAATTAATGTAGGCTGGGGGGCAGAGGAGGTATAGAGAACCAGATATGCAAGTTATTGGATATGTATACAAATGAAGAGCACAAGGCTCTGAGTGTGGACCTGATATCCTATTCCCAAATTTAAAAAGAAGAGTACAGGGCTTTAGAACCTTCTTTGTATAACCACTTCTTTTGTCTAAAAAGCTCTTTTCAGGTAACTTGGTATCTCTAGCTGAACCCATATTATTGCATAGTTGACTCTTTAACAACATGGGGGTTAAGGGACACTGACCCCTGGCACAGTCAGAAATCTGCTTTTAACTTTGAACTCCCCCAAAACTTAAGTTGTGTCTTGATATCTGCCAGGGGTTGGTTCCAGGACCCCCTGTGGATACCAAAGTCCGTGGATGCTCAAGTCCCTTATATAAAGATAGCATAAATCAATGCATGCAGTTAGCCATCTGCACCTGCAGACCCCCAACCACAGGTGGAAAATAGTACAGGTATTTGTTTTAAAAAATCCATGTATAAGTGGATCCAAACCCATGTTGTTCAGGGGTCAGCTATAATTGCTCAATAGTTACATGTGGTCAGGGCTATGAAAATCGCCAGGAATTTCATTGTGTTATACCAATTTCATTTAAACAACAATACCAACACACTTCTGAGCACTGACAGTGTGTGTGCAGTGTGCTATGCCATCTCCCATGGGGACCACAGAGCTTTCTTGGACAGACTTTGGAATGGCCATGGAGGATGCTTCCCTAGGAGCGATTTCTACTTGAGTCAGTTCTCAAGCAGTTTCCCTTGGATTTCAGTGCTCTGTTCCATGAAATCTTGTAGTGTTTCTGGATATCATCAGCATTGCATTAAAATTTTTCAGAGCTCTTAAAAGCATGGGCCTTGAAGATTGGCAGCCAGCAGTGTTCTGAGGAGGGACTTGAATTTCAAGGTGCTTTCACAAGGCCCTTCTGATGGCGACGCTCATCACACTAACACAGAGGAGAGGGGAGTGAGCCCCATGTCACCAGTGAGGAGCCAACGGGGCATATGGCTTCCAGGACTCTGCCTTTTGCCTCACAGTGCAGTCCCCCCGCCACACAGTAGACAGGCAGGGCAACCGGGAGCCCATGTTAGAAATCCAAGGCCTCCTATGAGTGAATTGTACCTAAGAGTCTGCAGGGCTTTTGCTTGTTTCTCTGTGCTTTGTATGTTTAATGCCCAAATCTTACCCTCTCCCCTCAAAAATTAAAAAGAAAAAAAAAACACAACAACTCAAAACCAAAAAAGTAAAAGGGCAAAAAGGAAACATTTGGTTTTGTAGTGTCAAGGGAAAGGAAAATTGTGGAGATAAGAACAGGGGAATAAATACTTTGTAAATATATGACTATCTAACCACTACGCTGTATACCTGAAACCAATACAAAATAATATTAAGTGTAAATTGCATTGAAAAAAATTTTAATGTAAAAACAAATAAAAAGCTAAAAACACAAAAGGGGGGATATATAAAATTTAGCTGAATGTGTTGCTACCTAATTGGAACATAACATTTTTTTTTAGCTTCTCTTGCAGCTAGATTTGGTCATGCGGCTGAGCCCTAGCCACTGAAGCAAAAGTGCCAACTTTATGTGGCACTATTGGGAAACCTTCTCAAAAGGGAGAGTCACATCACTTCTTTTGCTTCCTCCTCCCCTCTGAAGGTGGGATGCAGCCAAACAGAAGGGGCACACCAGCTCCAGATTTCTTACCTGAATTTCTAGGCCTTTTCATTAAAGAAAAATAACTATAATCTTGTCTGGAAAAGAACAAAAGAACAAATAAGGCTGGACTAGGCCCTCCCTCCCCACAGGGCCCACCTTGCCCGGTTCCTTGCAGTCATCTCCGATCTGCTCCTTTCCTCCCAGCTCTCCAGTCTACCTTACACACACTCTCATCTTGTCTTCCAGAGCCAGCCGTTAAAATCACTGCGCAAGCTGTTGCACCTCTCTTCAGCGTCCAATCACCCAGCTGCTGCGGATCCCCGCTTCCAGCCCTTAACAGCTCAACAAGTCAAAAATGCCTTCTCAGAAATTCGAATTCACTCCCTGAGCCAGGCCTCTGGTGGGACCAGTAACATCCGACAGGAGCCCACGCCAAAGGGCAGGCCAGCCCTTCAGCTGCCAGGTCAGATGGACCCTGGTTGGCACGTGTCCTCTGTGACCCGCAGTGCCACAGAAGGGCCTTCCTACTCTGAACAGCTGGGAGCCAAGAGTGGGCCAAATGGGCACCCTTATAACAGAACAAATCGGTCTCGAATGCCAAATCTGAATGATTTAAAAGAGACAGCCTTGTAATGTGTGCTTGGGGCTGGGGTCAGGGGACAAGCCAGTTAGGAGGGGAGGGGAGGGGCTGGGCTTAGAGGGTGGGGTGGGAAATGGGCTGGGCCAGGGTGGTAAGCCAGTATTTTCAGCTTTATGAAGGTGTGTGCAATATTGTATGTGTGGAGCCATTGGGCTCCTCACAGCCACAAATGCTAGTCAGGGATCTTAGAGCCGCAGGAGTTCCTTAGGGATCCCCATCTCCACGGGTCTTGTGTGAGAATGGATAGAGTGTGCCGTTGAGGAAGAAGACGTTCTTGCCAGTTTCTCCCCCTTACATTCCAGCTGTAGTGCAATCCCTGTTGAACTTGGGAAAGCCAGGACATGTTCTGGCACTGCAAGGGAAAGAAAAATCCGTGTTGACCGATGCCCTCATCACAGATTTTTTTTCTGCCTAGACTAAATGTGGGGTTTGTTGTAATCCAAGAGTATCCCTTTGGAGGGTTAGCAGATGAACTAACTGTATGTCTTAAATTGTTTTCTAAAGTTCCATATTTGATAGGATTTGTAACATTTATTTATAATTAATATTGTATTGTTCTAATCATACCTTTTATGTTAAATGTAAAGTTATTTTGAGCTGTTTGGAACATTGTGAAGCAGTGGGACAGCTACAGTAGTTTCTATAAAAACTAAACAGTAACATTTATATATTGCATCAGGAGTATTTTATTCTATATATAAATATATATATGATAAATATCTGTCTGTTTTATAAATATAATCACTTAAAGAAAGTATCGTTATGACACTCTGCCATATTTTTATACATTTGTAATATGAAGTGAGTATTATACTTCTAATCAAGGGAGTTGACTTGTGGCTATATGTGACTGTAACAGTAGGAACCTTGCTCAACTTTTAGGCCGCAGCAGTAGCCTCTAGACATGCTCCTTGGTGTAGCAGACAGGATGTAGCATCTCCTTCCGAACCCACAGAGGAAGAAAGTGGGTTAGGCCAGTGAGAACTCTGGCAGGCCTCGTCTCTGTCCTCACACAGTTGGCTGCTCTTCATGTCCAGGGACATTCCTTGCACCTAAGGGAGAACAGATCCAGGCTCACTTATGGGTCTTTGTAGAGAGAATGTGCTCTTCTACTTAGCATTAGTGTAGAGCGTTGACCAAAGATTTGCCAGTGAACATTCCTAGTTGCGATGTTGTAAGAGGCCCCTGTGTGCAGATCTGGCAGACCAGCTCTGTGCTCCTGAATCCTGTGCGGTGTACCAGAGACTCTTGGTTGGGGTGGGGGTGGGGGCATGAGATACATGTGTGGCGTTTCTGTTTCTGAATACTTCCTTTGTTATTGCTCTTTCCAAGATATTTAAAAGGCTCCTGAAGTAACTCTAGATGTAGAGAAAATTGCTATATCCACATTGTCTTCTTGGGACTGTACACATATAACAAGGTTATATATACACACACACGGTCAGAACAGGACTTACCTTTCCCTCATTTGATCTCCTTCGACTCCCGAGTTCCTTCCAAGTGTCATCAAGGCCTTTGGCCAACAAAGGTTATAGCCCTGTGTCCCTGGGCCATCCTTGACAGAGACCACTCAACACCATTATCCATCAAGAGCATTAGATTTTTGGAAGTAGTCTCCTAGCAATAATATTTTTAAAGATCCCTTCCCATTCCTCAAAGACATAAGGTCTCAGTATTTATTACTTGTCCCAGGATTCTGAGAGTGTCAGCCCCTGAATCAAGTCAGCTGTAACTGAAATGTGCTGTTACTGTTCCCCTCCCCCACAATTTTGAGAACCATAGCTCTGATGTTTATGAAGATTATAAAGAGAAAGTCTTAGTTTCTTTGAAGCTTAAATTGTGTGCATATTGCATTTTTATATAACTACTATAATGATGTGTATTGATTATATATAGAGGTCATTTTAAGGTGCTTTTTATTTAATTTAATAAGTGTAATAGGCACTAAAATGAAACTCAACTGGGTACTATCATTGAAACAATTTGATTCAGACCAATAGTTTGCATGCTCTTTGGTTCTTTTTATATCTTGTTTCTTTTACCAGTTCAGTACTGTTCGAGTAGCTCTGAATTCTGGCTTTTCCCAGGCAGCTGCTCAGTTATATAAGTGATGTGGACCCTTAGCAGTTTTTGCCTGGATACTAATAACTATAAAAGGGTGTATAACTCTTCTTTTCATACTAGATCTGTACCTTGTATTTTCCCCCTTGCAAACCAGAAACTACATTTTTTTCCTCTGGAAAGACTTCTCACTGTGCTGTGCGCTTAGGAACTGCGCAGTCACATTGCCACGCTGTGGCATTTGAGGCTCGTTGTCACTTAGCGGCTGGTTTCCCATGTTTTCATCCCTGTTAACACTGGGATCTCAGATGTTTGCAGATCATTTCTATTTCTGATGGTTCTTCAAAGAAGGGCTAGAATAATTGCCTTCTACCTAGAGCAAAGTAAACCTAACTGATGAAGAGTCAATACATACTTTTCGTACATTCCCAGATTTGAGCCAGAAAATATCTACGGTGTTTTCAACTCGTGTTTTTGAGGTAGCTCTTTTATCCTCTCCCCAGCTTCTGTCCATTCTGACTTTTCATTGACCTTAGTGAGCTGTAAAGTGAACTTCAATCCGCATTTCTAGCAGGTATAATGCTTTTCCTTCTTGCACAAGGGGAATGGGAATGGTCAAGTTTCCTCTCAAGTCTGATGGGCCCTCTCTTAGCTTTTAACTGTTATTTTCCTCTGTCGATGAACTATCGATCTGACAGAGATTGCCACCCACGATAAGGATTTGATTTAAAGTCACAAAAGCTTGCATTTTCTTTAGGAAGGGAAATTCTTATGACATCTGTGTTCTCTTATCTGCCCTAACTTCCTAAAGAATGAAAAGGTTGAATAATTGCTTATGAATTACTTTGTTTTATGGAAGTATCACTGATGTCCTTTTGGAAAGAAACTCTGCTTCGCTGTTTTTCTACTTTTGCTTTACCACCATCCTCATTTTTTCTCCTCCGAAGTTCTAAATGAACTTTCACTGAATCTTGCTTGGTCTACATCTGAGGTTTAGCCTCTCTCCAGAGCTCCAGACCAAACGTACGCCGTACTGAGGGGCTCAAGTGAGCAGTCTCTACAGCAGTGGTTCTCAACCAGGGCCGATTCTGCCTCCAGCAACATTTGGCTATGTCAGGAGACATGTTAGGTTGTTACAACTGGGTGTGGTGGGGTGCTACTGGCATGTAGTTAGTAGAGGCCATGGGTGCTGCTACACATCCTACATGAACAGGATCCCCCACAAACCAAAATGATCCAGCCCCAAAGGTCAGTAGTAGTGTTGTGGTTGAGAACCCTGCTCTACTATGTTCCATCACTCTGCGGAGCTCGGCTCTGTCCTTGTCTCTCCAGGCTAGGAAACTGTAGGCATGAATTCTTCAGCATCTCGTTCTTTAAAGAATCTTCTCCCACTGTTTTTAAATCCCTGGAATCCTATTGTTTGTTTCTATTGTCTTGGGCCTGCTAAAAGGTGCATCCTTTAGGAGGAGACCAGAGTTACTTTATAGGTGTTTGAGAGCTTAAATTCTAGGTCAGCATCCTTAGAAAATCTTTCATAGAGCCATGATGCTTATATTTAGAAGTGAGCAGCAGCCTGGCAGATTGGCGTGATTTTTACCAACTGCTCAAAGGCATCCATGGCTTTTAGCTGTGTCTCCCAAAAGAAAATGTCTTTGTTTTTCATTTAAGTCATTTAATAGCTCTTTACAAATATTGGCACATGACAGACTGATTAGAAGCAAAAATCTCTGTATTGGTGGTTGTGACGTGGCTGTTATAGGAGTATTTGTGCTGTACGCTTTGGTCAAATCTGTTTTCAAACCTGCTTTAAGTCTCACCATAGGCAGTTGTACTTTCATTCTAAGCTCAGAGCTATGCTGGTTAGTTTCTAGTCACGTCATGTATTATAAAGTATGTTGTGGTTGTAGAGTTAGCCAGTTTAGCATGTTCCTAATCTGAAAATTAGTGGACTTCTCTAGGAAATGCTAGCCCATTTTCCCGTCCCACCTCCTCTTAGTTAACCTCATAGTATCCTCACTTCTTAAACTAGTTTTTAGAGTAAATAAGGAAAAAAGCCATTTATTTTCTTCTAGCTATGTATTGAGAATGACTCATAAGTGTACAGCTTTTTTTAAAGGCCAGAGGATTACTTTTCAAGTGCGTAGAAAGCACTGTTTATTTGTGTTCACCTAGGTCCTGGTGGTGACCCAACTTTTGGCAAGGGCAATTGCTCATTGCAGCATATTCCTAGAGCTCATCTGGGACTCAGAAACCTGCATATTCTCTCCTGATCAGAACATTTTTTCTGGAGAGCACTGCTTTTATATCTAGAAGTTCGTGACTTCCTGCATTATCGTGGGATGTTGAGCTCCGTGTGAGTACTAAGATCCACAGACTCATACTTTTGTGAACTGGGAATGTGGTATATGATACACTGAACCAAGTCAGAAAATACTGAAATATTTCCTTACCTTCTTCAGTTCATCACTAATAAAGTGTGTGGGCAGAGAAAACGTATTTACAGTTAAAACCAAATGGTTTCTTTAAAAGGGGCAGCAGAGAAGACAGTACAAATGTTATGTGTCCTGTCGCTAATCCCCAGGGCCAGAATCTCACAAGAAGATGCTCTCAGAGACTTAAAGAGCCACCTTACAAAACAAAAACTTGTAAGTGGTTCTCATTTCTTCCTTTTGCATCTTGACCAGCTGAGATGTAGAATATCTTGAGGTCTGATTCAGCTGGGTAAAAAATTCTGTCTCAGAAACCATGAGTAAATACAAGAAAATGAAGCTGTGATGGGACAAGTCCCTCGTCTGTCTGTATACACACAATGTGGTGAAAACAAGGTGGCTAGGAAACTCTGGGCCTGCTGCCCTAATCTATTCTATTTCTTCTTCTTTTAATTGAATGTACTATAAAAGATCATAAAGTTTTGTGCCAAGTCAGTTACTACATGAATATTCATTTCCCATAGTGAT